ACCAAAGAGTTAATTTTTTGAAATAAAGTTAAAATAAATTAAATGATTTAATTTATTTTATTTTTATACCGACGTGACTTTACCGGCCTTCACTCCCATGAAAATAAAATAAAATAAGTAATTTATTTTAATTTAATTTTTCTGCCTACGTGATGACTTTACCTAAAGAACCAAAGAGAGTGGGATCCCTGCAGTCACGAAAACTTCAAATCAAGATTAAGGCCGATCCCGTCACGGCGATCACGTAGCCACCACAACTGACAGCGGGGGGCTCTGGGATGGGTGCGAGGGGCTGGAACGAGGGGGGCTCTGGGATGGGTGCGAGGGGCTGGCGTGGTCGTCACCCCCCCCCCCTCCACCGTCGACTTAGTGACCACAAACTACGCGTTGCTTCCACTGTGTTCAGTTGAACCGTGACGCACTTCATGACACTGGCCGTACGGGCGTTTAACAAAAGTTGCCTTGTTGTGCTCCGGCTTAGGGAACTGTTCGTTCACCCACTCCTCACTACTCCCTCACTCAAGCTCCCCTCTGATCCCTCACCACTCATCCCCCCTCACCACTCACCCCCCCTCACTCCCTCCCCTCACCGCTGATTCCCCCCCTCACCCCCTCCCCTCACCACTCACCCTCCCCTCACCATTGCAGACGCTGGAATGCAATTGTATGAAAGTATTTTTAAAGGAATGCCTTGCATAAACAAGTTTATTTTAGCCTACATGTGTGATGTGAGCCGCCAAAGCCAAACTTACAATTACGTTATATATTTTAGCATCATAATAATCATAATAAAATTACAATGTGGCAAGATATTAACTACCTCGCCTGGTATACAGGAGGTCGTGGGTTCGATCCCAACCTTGACGCCTGCTGCTGCTGTGTATTTGGAGTTTACCACGTTCTCCCCGTGGTCGCGTGGATTTTTCTCCAGGTCCTCCGGTTTTTCCCTCCACATTTGTATTTGGCCGCTGTGCATTTCCACATGGTAAGGCAACTACGTTGAGTTCTCATTCGTGGCCAGGTTGCTGCTGAAAAAAGAGCTTCATAATTCAGTGGGGCCTTACCTGGTAAAAAAAAAATAGTTGAATACTTCGAAATTTAAAGAATTTGCAACAATACCACAAAAAATGTGCCTCCGGGCTCTGTAGACCAAGGCCATAGCCATGGAGTCAACATTGGGGGGGACCAAATCTTCCAGGGGGGGTCTGGGGGGTCCCAACCCAGAAAAAAAATAGCTAACTTTGAAAACTTTTTCTGCCTGAAATATAAAAAATTCACTAACACATGGGATGGACTTTTTATTTATATTTTACAATAATGTCTAATAGTGTTATTGTATTACATTGCTCTAGTTTTACTTTTTTTTATTTACCATTTCTTGTTTCATTGTATGTAATGGCAGAAATTAGGGATGAATATAGTACAACCATAACCACAATCATATACAGAAATCTATGCGTTGATTTATATGAAGACAAGTCCAGATATTGTGGCCAAGGTTTATCAAATTGTTGTTTTTATTTACATAGCATAGCAATTTTTATAGCAATATATTGGGGGGGGGGGACATTTTGAGCATATTTGAATATGGGGGGGGGGTGTCCTAGGGGATGTGTCCCCCCAATATATTATAATTACGGCCTTGCTGTAGACCATCTGGAGACGATTCCAGACACGTGTTGACAATGATGGCGAAACAAGTGGAGACTCTTGACTTTTTCAAGCTATTAACATACATTTGTTATCATGTTACAGTATATTATCCGTTCTTTTCCCATTAAAAACGATAGTCTCATATAAGTGTTAACACTTTTTTTAAGCACCCTGTATATAGCAATGTAAATATGACCGCTTATCAAGCTTCCCCTACTACCTCTCGACGGCCCGCAATCCAGATCACACGGAGTAGGGAAATTGCTGGCACAGATTCTGCAGGATATCGGTGAAAGGTTCAAAGTCAGCATTTAAGGTTTGGACAGGAAATTACGAGAATGGTTCCCGACAACACCTGGTACGAGACGGCGAGATCAATTATCACCAAAACAACTTCGTCACACACTTGGAAAGGGTGATTGATGGATGCCATTCAGGACAAGGGCACAGGCATATCTGCGCAGGGAGAAAGAATAACTAACCTGAGATTCGCAGACGAACATAGATCTGATGGAAGCAAGGTGCGTGGTTTTTTGTTCAGGGAAAGTGTTCATAGGCAGAATGTCGTTGAAAGGATGCAGGACTGAGGATTAGCGCGGAATAGACAGACGACGGTGTTCGGAAGGGAGGACATTGAGAAAGTAACCCTAGAAATCAGCAAGATTGTGAATGTTAAGGAATTTGTATGCTTGGTAAGTCTACTGGATTGGGATAACGTCACGAAACATCTAAGAGCGAGGATCGCAAGGGGAAAAATGAGTCATGGCAGGATTCAATAACATCTGTAGGAGCAAGTAAATCAGCTACAATACTAAACTGAACATCTTAAGAACATGCGTGTATGGCAGGATTCAATAACATCTGTAGGAGCAAGTAAATCAGCTACAATACTAAACTGAACATCTTAAGAACATGCGTGTATGGCAGGATTCAATAACATCTGTAGGAGCAAGTAAATCAGCTACAATACTAAACTGAACATCTTAAGAACATGCGTGTATGGCAGGATTCAATAACATCTGTAGGAGTAAGTAAATCAGCTACAATACTAAACTGAACATCTTAAGAACATGCGTGTTCAGTACAGCGTTGTATGACTTGGACGTTATACAATTCTGACATAGGTAAGGGGCCGTCCATAAATGACGTCACGCACCTAGGGGGGAGGGGGTCAGACATTTGTGACGATGTGTGACGAGGGGGGGGGTAGAAATGTGACGTCACATCAAAATGCGTAAACTTTAAATAAACATAGACAACACGTTCTACTTATATTCTTGGTTCTACTTATATTTCTACTTATATTCTTGGTTCTTTCTTTCACCACTACACCTCACCCACCGAACCAATAATATGAATCCCTGCAAGTCACGAAAGCTTTAAATCAAAACGTTCTACTTAATTAAATATACTTTAAATTTTGATTTAAAGCTTTCGTGACTGCAGTAATTCATATTCTTAGTTTTTTCGGTAAAGTCACGTTGAAGAGAAACAACAAAATAATAAAATATATATTTTATTATTTTGTTGTTTAATATAAATATACTTTGTTATCATATTCTTGGTTCTTTCGGTAAAGTCACGTAAGACGGGAAACAATAAAATAATAAAAATATAAAACAATAACATTCTCACGACGTTTGTACTGCAACACAAGCAATCATCATCAGGTGTGACAACCACAGCAAGAAAAAAAATTGCTGTGGTTTTCCTGCAGTCACGCAAGCTTTAAATCAAGACTTTGTGACGTCATAATCGCATGACGTCATTTATGGACGGCCCCTTATTACGGGATATATGCCCATGGATTGTGATGATTATCAAGCTACTCACCACCCCACCACCACTACACCTCACCCACCACCACTACACCTCACCCACCACCCACCCAACCCCCACCACCACTACACCTCACCCACCACCACTACACCTCACCCACCACCACTACACCTCACCCACCACCACTACACCTCACCCACCACCACTACACCTCACCCACCACCATCACTACACCTCACCCACCATCACCACACCTCACCCACCACCATCACTACACCTCACCCACCATCACCACACCTCACCCACCACCATCACTACACCTCACCCACCACCACTACACCTCACCCACCACCACTACACCTCACCCACCACCATCACTACACCTCACCCACCATCACCACACCTCACCCACCACCACTACACCTCACCCACCACCACTACACCTCACCCACCACCACTACACCTCACCCACCACCACTACACCTCACCCACCACCACTACACCTCACCCACCACCACTACACCTCACCCACCATCACTACACCTCACCCACCACCACTACACCTCACCCACCACCACTACACCTCACCCACCATCACTACACCTCACCCACCACCACTACACCTCACCCACCACCACTACACCTCACCCACCACCATCACTACACCTCACCCACCACCACTACACCTCACCCACCACCACCATCACTACACCTCACCCACCACCACCATCACCACACCTCACCCACCACCACTACACCTCACCCACCACCACTACACCTCACCCACCACCACTACACCTCACCCACCACCACTACACCTCACCCACCACCACTACACCTCACCCACCACCACTACACCTCACCCACCACCACTACACCTCACCCACCACCACCACACCTCACCCACCACCACCACACCTCACCCACCACCACTACACCTCACCCACCACCACTACACCTCACCCACCACCATCACTACACCTCACCCACCACCACTACACCTCACCCACCACCACTACACCTCACCCACCACCACTACACCTCACCCACCACCACTACACCTCACCCACCACCACCACACCTCACCCACCACCACCACACCTCACCCACCACCACTACACCTCACCCACCACCACTACACCTCACCCACCACCACTACACCTCACCCACCACCACTACACCTCACCCACCACCACTACACCTCACCCACCACCACTACACCTCACCCACCACCACCACACCTCACCCACCACCACCACACCTCACCCACCACCACCACACCTCACCCACCATCACTACACCTCACCCACCACCACCACACCTCACCCCTCACTCACTCATCCAACCCCCTCCTCTGCCCCCCCCTTACCCCTCCCCCTCCCCTTACCCCTCACCACGTCAACAATCGATTCAGCTCACGGAATCGCGAGTTTCGATTACATCGATTAGGAGTCGATACACCGGTTAATTCCGCCCCTTCCCGCGTCACGTGATGCGCGGGGGGGGGGGCGTCACCGCGGAGGGATATAACCAGCGCTCCGTGTGCTCCGCCGCCGCCGCCCCCCACCTCCGCCGGGTCTACGCGCGCGCGCGCGCCCTGCAGCTAGTCCCCCCCTCCCCCCAAACCCCGCCTTCGTCGCCCATCAGCTTTGAGCGAGCGAGCGAGCCGCTAAAAAAAAGTTAAACTCCTCGTGAGCGATTCGTCGGGCAGCCCGCCGGCCCTCCGTTTCGGCTCTGAGCACACGTGAGTTTACCCTCACCACGCGTTCACACACCCGCTCCTCGTCGTGACGGTCGTGGTGGTGGTGGTGGTGACGATGGTGACGACGCCGACGATCGTTGTAATGGGTGGGTGGGCACCTGTGTGGGGGTCTCCTGTGGGTGTGGGTGGACCGCCCCTCACCCCACCCAGGGGGGACCCCCTCCCACTTAGGGCCCCCCCCACTGGGTGCCCCCCAATAGCAGCTGCCCCCCCCCCCCACCCTAGCAGCCCCTCCGCTGTTGCAGCAGCTGCGTTCGTGGCACGCGTGGGCTCGATGTTGCTGCCGAGATGTTCGTTCGCCGCTGCGTTCTCGAATTTCCGCGGCGCCAAACGATGAACCACAGTTTAATTTATTTTTCATAACCTACGTGACTTTACCGAAATAACCAAAGAGTTCTGAACCACTGTCCACAGCGGCCATTTGTACGGAAGCCTGCACTGTAAACCGACCACACTGTACGCGAGCCCCACTGTACGCGAGCCCCACTGTACGCAAACCCCAACTGTACACAAACCCCAACTGTACACAAACCCCAACTGTACACAAACCCCAACTGTACACAAACATCACTGTACACAAACATCACTGTACACAAACCCCAACTGTACACAAACATCACTGTACACAGGACGTCAATGATGAACGATGGATTATTAACCTTTAAATTAAGTAAGTCTGCGTCACCGCGGGGGTCTTACAAATCGCGTCGCGCGCGGTCTGCTGCTTTTCGTTTGCAAGTTTCAGCTTTATTGAAATAAACCCGGCGAGTGTTCTGCTAATCTAGATTTTTTTTTTAAGTTTTGTGCCTTTGTAGTTGAGGCGTTGTAAGTTGACGCCGAGGAGAGGGGGTGGGGGAGGAGGCGCCATGTGGAGTGACGTCACCCGTTAATTATTATTATTGGTGGCGGTGGTGGGTCCATATTCTTGTGTTCTTTCGGTAAAGGTCACGTAGATATAAAACTAAAATTAAAATAATTAACCCGCCACGACGTTTCGATCGCAACACAAGCGGGCCTTTATGGTGTGGAAGACGTCACCTGGTCATGATTATTAATGAGGGGGGCTGGCCGACGTGGAGTGACGTCACGCGCGGGACGCATTCTTTCGGTAAAGTCACGTAGGTAAAGAAAATAAAATAAAAGATCAAAAATAAAAATTAATAAATTAAATCGCGACGTTTCGATTGCAACAGGTGTGACAACCACAGCAAGAAATTTTACTGAAGTGTAATTTTACTGACGTGAAATTTTCTTGCTGTGGTTGTCACACCTGATGATGATTGCTTGTGTTGCAATCGAAACGTGATTTCATCTATGTATTTTTGAGCCTTTATTTTTTTATTTTATTTTCCTACGTGACTTTACCGAAAGAACCAAGAGTATGGATCCTTGCAGTCACGAAAACTTCAAATCTAGAATGACACATTTCTTGACTTAAATCTTTCGTGACTGCAGGAATTCACGTTTTTGGGTCTTTCGGTAAAGTCACGTAGATAGGTTCAAAGAAAATAACAAAATATTGTGTTATTTTGAACCTATCTACGTGAATTTACCGAAAGACCCGAGGATACAGACATTGTTGGCTGTGTCGGGGTGGTGGCGGGTTTAACGACACAATTAAATATACAGTGTGCTTCAAGTGCATTTTTAACACTTCTGAGAATTTGCAACAACACCACAAGAGACACGTGCTGCTGCCTCCGGGCTCTGGAGACCACGTGGAGAAGATTCCAGGCCACGCGTTGACAACGATGGCGAACAAGTGGGGAGACCCTTTGACTTTTCCCAGCTATGAACATTACATTTGTTATGTTATATTGTATTATCCGTTCTTTTTGCCATTAAAACCGATGGTCCCATGTAAGTGCTCAACATTTTTTTTAAGCACGGTGTATTTACGCGATCCAACCCAAAAATAAACCTGTACTATAGGATGATATTGGTCGCGGAAGCCAACTCGTTGAACTAATTCTACCTTTACACCAATCGCACAGATCAACATTGCCCTGTACAACAGCGGCATTGGAGAGTCGGATCCAATCAATCACCGCGCAATTATTGCACCTTGATCATCGCGTCGTACGCAACTTGTAGACTTAACCTGCCGTAACTTCTTACTTATAGTACGGTACACTAACTGCAGTGGACGCTGATCACTGCATTAATCACGAAGACAAAGATCCCCTGTGTAGCCTTAATAGACTGTTTGGGGCAAGTGCTGTTAGCGAGCACTTACGAAGAAGGCCCGCACGGCACGCGAGGGCGTGGGTGGCCAGCACCACGTCCGCCTTTGTCTCCCCAGTGGCGATGTTTACACAGCGCACCAGGTGCTCATTTGAGGCTGAGTCGACCTAGGGGAGGCCCAAGACCGGTTCAGATAATCGTCACAGGTTCGTAGTGCAGCGCGCTAACCGCTACACCACCGCTCTCCACTACTACCGCTCTCCACACTGTAAACACACATACACAGACACACTCTGCACTCGCTCACACCGCTTTCCCCCAGCAGTTTTGCATATGAAGCAATTGGCGGGACCCCGGGGGGTCCCATCACTGCCCCGGGGTGGGGAAAACCGCGTAGCGACACGAGTCTTGTTGCCTTACCGACAACAAAACTAGTGGTCAATCGATTGGCCTCGTCGAGAGCTACTCGGGGCACTAAGTTTCGTAAATAGTTGAAAAATTACATAAAGACGTTAAATTCACTGCCCGGGGGGCGGCTGACTCGTTTTGGCAAAGAAGCTGAGGGTCGACGGCTGACCGGAGGGCGACTGCGGCGGACGCCCACCGGGGCTCGCGTTTGGCCGGTGGGGTGGCGCCCATCGTGGTGATCGCCGCCTGCTGCTGGCACTTGTTGTTGGCGCGAGTCTGGGCCAGCGGCGCGTTGCTGTTGTCGCCCAACTCGGCGACGAGGTTGGGTGGGATGGCAGGATAGGAGTCGAGGCACGAGTGGGCGGACTGAAAAATAATAATTATTCACCTGCTTTTTGCGGGACCCCAGGGTCCCGCCAAATGATTCGTATGTAGTGTACGTTGAACTTCTGTCGCACCGTACGTAGCCAAGCGGGCGGACCCGGAGGAAAATCCACACGACCACGGGGATAAACACGCAAACTCCAAATATATGGCAGGCGTCATCAGGGTCTTTGTCTTGTCACGTTCTTTAGCGTGCTCTCAATGCCTGGCCTTGGCTTCAGTGTCTGCTGCACGGACTCTCCTCCTGAGTCGTGTAAATAAACGCAAGCACGTTTTTTCATAATATCTTTTTTTGGCGTAAGATCTGGGTGGAGTGAAATGCCAATCGATGCGTGGATGCGTCGACACTTCACGTGGCCTTGACGTGCACGTAGCCTGGTAAAGTCAACGCGACTGAGTGGCGAATAGCGGTTGTTGTTGTTGTGTCAGCATAGCGGGTACGCTGAAGCAATACAATTGTACGTGTCATTGATACCGGCAAAAAGGTCCCGAGTAGTATGAAAAATAAGAATAGGTTTTCAAACAGGAAGTGTTAAGATGTTCAAACACCAAATGGATACATTTTGCAAGGCATCAAGTCTGCAAGTGCTTCTAGATTTGAAGCTTTTCGTGACTGCAAGGATCCATACTCTTTGGTTCTATTCGGTAAAGACTTTACCGAATAGAACCAAAGAGTCTGCAAGTACTTGTAGTGAACATGCAAAAGGTATCCCAGGATATATAGCTGCTCACCCTGAGCTATAAACCCTCTGATACGTGCATTGCCTTTGCGCTGTTGGCCTTTTGTCTTTATTCTCTGGTCTGACACTGGTGAGGCGAGGCCCTAAAGAACAATGCCGTGTCTGGTGTAGGCCAATCATACGGGGTGCTTCAATTGTTTTTCTTTCCCTTGCAGTTCACTGAAATGGCAACGAGATTGACTTTGGAGCAAAGAAGAAAGGTTGCTGCGTGGATGGACGTCTTTCAGTCACCCACGGTGGTTCGCAACAAATACAGAGATCATTTCCACTGCGATCCACCCTCGAGATTGACCATTTATCGCGTTTACAACAAGTTCGTCGAAGCCGACTCGGTCGCTGATAATTACAAAGGGAACAGCGGTCGACCACGAACAGGCCGATCCCCTGCCAACATAGCTGTTACACAAGAAGCTTTCTCGCGTAGCCCAGGGAAATCAACCAGACGATTAAGCGTAGAATGTGGTCTTCCCCGGGCAACGGTGTGGAGAATATTGAACAAGGATCTGGGAATGCAGCCATATCATTTGCAGACTGTGCAAGCCTTTACGTCCTGCAGATAAAGCCGCTCGTGTTGAGGCTTGCAAAGTTTTCTTAGAGCTGAAGAGTTTGGAACCTGACATTCACAGACTAGTGGCATTCAGCGACGCGGCAACCTTTCACGTAAGCGGACACGTGGACAAACACAACTGTGTCTTCTGGGGTACTGAGAATCCTCGTGTTGTGCGTGATCATGAACGAGACAGTCCCAAGGTGAATCTCTGGTGTGCAGTCACTGGAACTGGAGTGGTAGGGCCGTATTTTTTTGAAAACGCCACAATAAACGGTGGTGACTTCTTGCACATGATGGAGAATTACGCAGAGGACAACCTGCCACTGCAAATCCGGCTTACCGGATACTTTCAGTTGGATGGTGCTCCGTCCCACGTGGCTTCGAATGTTCGCGCTCATCTTAACAAAAAATTTGAGCGGAGATGGATTGGCAGAGGAGGGCCTGTGAAATGGCCAGCACGTTCGCCAGATCTCACGCCTTGTGATTTCTGGCTGTGGGGTATGGTCAAGGAACGTGTTTATGCTACCAAGCCCCGTGATGTGCGAGACCTCCGACAGAAAATTGAAAATGTCATTGCAACAGTACCACAAGAATTGTGCCTCCGGGTTCTGGAGACCGCCTGGAGAAGATTCCAGGCTTGTGTTGACAATGAGGGCAAAGAAGTGGAGACTCTTTGACTTTTTCAAGCTATTAACATTAAATTCGTTATCATGTCACAGTGTACTAGCCCTTCTTTTTCCATGAAAAAACGATAGACCCATATAAGTGTAACACTTTTGAAGCACCCTGTATAATCAGAGCATGTTTGTTTCGATGTTCACCGCAAGTGCGTGCAGTTAACGCAGACTTGATGCCTCGCAAAATATATCTATTTGGTGTTTGAACCACTTAACTCCTCCTGTATTATTGCCAGAAAGGGTAAAACCCATTCTTATTCTTCATGCAATTGTACATGTTTGTCCACGTGACGACTTTATTCGAGTGGAGGAGGATTGTGCGATGCACGATAAACGAGCGCACGCACCCTCCTTCCTCGTACGATTCGCACCTCCGATTAGCACGTTTGGCCTACGTACGGCACGAAAGAAGTTCGTGCCGTACATGCGTACACATTTGTCATCGTTCCTACGCGGTCTAACCAACACATCAATTATTAATTAATGGCCCTGTGATGAAACGTGTCTCGTCTATGAGGAACCCCTACCCTCTGCTGCTCGTGATTGATTTTAAATTCCATGATCTCTGGTGAACCCCTCAATCCTTGGCGAACCTCAAGCAGTGCTGCTTGGGTTATGCAAGAGCAAGTATCGATCTCCGATGTTTTGTATACTTTTATTTTGTAATTGAAAGCTAGGACCTGTATCTTAAAGAGTGGGTCCTTGCTTTTAACATGAGGCAGTTTGACACGTAACCTTCATGACCAATATTACGGTATCCACAAGAGGGGTTTTTGGGTTAGATCGCGTAAATATAAATGTGTTGTTCAACCCGCCACCACCCGACAGCCCATTAGGTTTGTCAATTAAACAAAACATGCCAATTCGTTACTAGTACAGCACACCAGTGTGTTGGAGATTAAACCCACGACATTTACAATTCGAGTACGATGTTTCGCCAGTAATTACAACTAGCATCATCGGGTGACAGCCTGGCAGTTCACCATAATTTGTTCAAGGAAGCTTGACGCTCCTGATGAGACACCAGAGTTTGCTTGTACTGAATCAATGAAGCTGAAATTATGTACCCGCAGAAGGCCGTGTCACTAATGGGTTGTGTAAAAAAAAATACTGTAATCTTTTTTTACGTGGAGGTACAGATGTAGGAAGGTGTGGGGTTGGTAGATCGGATTATGTGTGTGTGTGTGACAATTCTCACCTGTGAGACGTGAGGGTGGTGCATATTTGGCAGCGTAGTAGCAAGCAGGTTGCTGACCTGTCTGTATTTTGAGTGTTGTTTCTTTAGATGTGATGGGGGGGGGGTTACTTTCTCTGGGTACCGTTTCCTCCCAAGCAAAAATAACAACAATGCTCCACCCGAAAACTACCCACATTTCAGGCCAGCACCCTCCTGCAAAAGTCTCGAGGCTCAGCTACAGCATTTCAAGAATACTGAACTATTATTACAACCACCAATACCAGCCATGCACTCTTTTAATTCTTAATGTGAAACTGAAATTCAAGTGAGCACAAAATCCTTAGAAGCTTTGCTGTTTGCTCAACGCTCCTTACCAAAGTCGCCTGATCTGACGTCCAGGATTCTAATTGACCGTAATCCCCCCCGCCTCGACCGTAAAACAAGACAGCATCTTCCTCCTCCAGCGAGCAATGGGGGGGGGGCGGTGCTCCGCTTCAAATTGGCAGCCCCCCTCCCCGAGCCAGTGTTGGAATTTCCACATTTCCATGGCAGTGGCCAATCATTCCAAAATGCGGCCGCCGTTGATCTTCCACAAACTGGTCACTAAATGTATACACCGTGCAGGGGCATTGGGGCCACAATTAAGAGACCCCCCCCCCCCCCCCCGTACTCCTGCGTCACAAGCGTAGGAGGCCACGCCAGATTTTCGGTGGCGACGTGCGTCTATATTCCAGAACTGCGAAGGTGAGGGCTGGTGGATTTAGCAAATGTTGGGGAAAGCCCTTTCCTGTGGGTGCTGAGGTGCCAAAGCCTGGCTTGTCAGGAGAAGGCGGTACAGTAAGTGGACTAACACGCCATCTGTTGGGCTACGTTGTGGGCAGCAGGTGGCAGTGCAGCACGTACCCAATATTCTACTGTACTTCTATGCTCCCATGTTTGTATTCCGTGCTGTTCATTCTGCATTGACCGAGTTGGTGAAGTATGGTCAAATGCACCCCTACAACCTCTACCGTGTGGGGAGGCCCTCATCCCCTATTTGCCCTGTCCTTGTACGTACGGTGCAAAAGAAGTTCGACATACATCACTGGTGTTGCATTTCCCCGGGACACCACATGTAAAGATGGTAGCTTCTAAAAGTGCGTTACGTGGCGCTTGGATGGTTACAAGTGCGCACATTCTGAAGCCTTGCGTTTCCCAAAAAATAAAAAAATATCCACTCGCCTCCCAGATTATTTTGCTCTGCAGACACATGCCCGGCCACTGAGGAGACAATGCAATTGAGCGGAAAGCTGTTATGATTCAAATGTTCTGTATCCGAACGCCACGAGCAGATTTTCCCTGACGATCTCTTCTCTATTGCTAGGGACTCTTCCGTTAACAAGAGCCGGAAAATGGCTGAGAATGCCGAGGATGACGTGAACTTGCTTAGTACCAAGCAGCTCTCCACTCTGCTGCAAGAGCTGTGGGAGCTGCGCGAGCGCGGCTCCTTCTGCGACGTCGTCGTCGAGGTGCAGAGCCGCCGCTACCTGGCGCACAAGGCGGTGCTGAGCAGCACCAGCGGCTACTTCCGCAGCCTCTTCCTGGGCGCGCCCTGCAGCAGCATGGGGCCCTTCGTGGTGGACTTTGTCTCCATGGGAACGTTCGAGCAGGTGCTGGGCTACGTGTACCGCGGCGACGTGACGGTGAGCCGCGCCGACGTGCGCCCGCTGCGCCGCGCCGCCCGGAAGCTGGAGCTGCGCTGCCTGGTGGAGGCGTGCGAGCCGTACGTCGGCTGCGGCGGCGAAGACGACGACAACGACGTAGACGTCCCCGCTTTCCACGGCGGCAAAAACAAAGGGAACTGCGATTTCAATGGGCGCGACAACGACTCCTTTGACATCGAGAACGACTTCTCGGACGCCGCAACCGACGCCGCAGCCGCCGCGGGGTGGAATAGAGAGAAAGAACGTCGTGCAGAGGAGGAGCGCGACGCGGGCGACGCGGGTGGCGGCGCATCTCCCGCGCACGCCATCAAGAGGGAACCCCTGTGGGATCTGCCGGTCGAGGGGCACGCGTGGCCCGTGAAGGTCGAGGTGCCCGATGGCCAATCCGACTGCCTCCACGCGGACGCCCGCACCGGCGACGCGCCCGTGGTCTCCGGCGGCCCCGACGGCCGCTGGCACCGTGTCCCGCAGGAGGCGGCGCTCGGCCCCGAGCCGGCGGCGGTGGCGCCGTCGTCGGAGCGAGCCTTGCTGGAGAAGTGCCACCGCCGCATTCGGGGCGCGGGAGTCACGCCGTGCGGCGCCGCGCCCGAGCGGGTGCGGCGCGGCGCGTGCGGGGAGCCGATGGACGCCGGCGTGCCGCTGGCGCGCGAGCGCTCGCGCTCGCGCCTGGACCTGGAGCGCCTCGAGTGCCACCTGTGCGGGGCCCGCTTCGCCTACGTCAGCGAGGCGGTGGAGCACGCGCTGGTGCACATGGGCGTGCCGGTGACGGCGTGCGCGCACTGCGGCCGCCGCTTCGCGTCGGAGAGGCCCGTGGGCGTCCACGCCTCCGGGCGCTACTGCGAGAACTGCGTGGCGGCGGCTTGCTCCGCTCTCGCTACGCCAAGGATGAGGGCGCACGCGGTGAGGAGAGGCGCTCGTTCCGCAGAGGAGAGGGCCCTCCACGTCGAGAGAGCGGCGAGTCCTGCCGCCGCCGGATTCGCTCCCCGGCCGAAAACGACGGACGAGGTGTCCGCGGCCGAGCGGAGCGACAAAGAGCCGGTGCCGTGCCGGCCGTGCGATCTGGTGCTGTGTTCAGCCGATGAGAGGAAGGAGCACGAGGAGATGTGTGGGCAGGAGCACTTCATGTGCAGACCGTGCGAGCGCACCTTCCGCACGGCCTATAGCCTGTGGCGCCACCGCCAGAAGGTGCACCACGACTCGGAGACGTTCGCCTTCCTCTCCGAGGGCCGTGCGGCCCAGTCCTTGTCCCTCCCAGAGGCCGCCGCCGAGGCCGAGCGAGAGGAATCTGGTGACGCTGCCGCTACTTACGCGGCATCGGACTCGGACATTGCCGTTCACTCGTCACCGCTGCGTGCCGTCTACCTAGCATCGACCTCTGCGGCCAAACTGGCGGCGTACTCTCTGCTGCTGTCCCTCCCTGACGCTGAAGCGGCCAGGTCGCTGCAGAGCAAGGACGTAAAAGTTGAGTATCAAGACACTGACGCTAATTTTGTGACCGTTGAGGTAAACTCTAACGAAGGTGACGATAGCGGCGATGACCACAACGATGACTTCCAGGAATCTCAAGTGGGTAGCGCGATCCTGAGCTCCGCCGGCAGCCCCGCAGTCAAGAGCGGCGCTGAAATCGGCGAGGATAAAACGAAGCCGCAGCACAAGAGGGTTTACGGGTTGGCAAACGCGGAGGAAGAGCTGGCGCACGCCAGCTGCCGCAAGCCCCGGCTTGTGCGGCTGAATCCTGTGTCGCCGCCGCCGCCACCGCGATTGAGGAGGGACGGCGCGGCCAAGGCGAGACAGCTGAAGGTGTGGGCGGTGAGAGCGGATCGGAGAATAACTCCGCTCGTGACGGCCGCCACCACCACCGCCGCCGCCGCCGCCGCCGACGCGGAGAGCCCTCCGCGCCCGGAGCCCAGCGTCGTGGCGGCGGCGCAGGACGTGGACTTACCGCACACGTGCACCAAGTGCGGCGTCGTGTTCAGCCTCTTGCAGGATTTGGAGCGCCACCAGGAGATGTTCTGCGAGGTGAAGGCGTTCAATTGCCACGACTGCGACAAGTCGTTCCGCACAAACTTCCGCCTCTGGAGCCACAGGCAGAGTTCTCACTGGGACGGCGACGCGGCTTCCGATAGCCACAGCGGTTGAGTTGGCGATTCCTCTGGGGTCGCTGTCGTTGATATCATCGTGGTTTGTTGCATCGAAGGGCCCCGGCTCTATTGGAAGGCTTTGTTGTTGTCGTCGTCCAGTCAGCAACGCAGTTTTACAAGACTTCATCATTCACTGTAATAGCGGTGAGAAGGTGATCTCGAGGTGCCATGAGAAGAGGTGCATTGAGGTTAGCGACCGTACGTAACACGGGAGGGCGTATTGGTCAGCACATTCTGGTGGTGATGTGATTCTCTTCATCTGACTTGGTGATTTTGATAATTCTAAATGCGATTCGTGTCTTGAGCGACTCGAGCATAGTTTTAAATGGGTTGGCCGTTGTAGCTTTACTTCATTATATTAAAATGTTAAAGCGTTTTAGCTCACGTTTCTGATTACATAGTTCAAATTAATAAAGCTGAGGAAGCACCAGAGGCAACGTTGGATTCGGAAATTTGAGATGGTGGAGACCGGCTCGGCCCTTTGTGTGTCCACAAAAAGTATTTGTAAAGAAATTAAGTTTCCACTCTCGATTTCAAAGTGTATAGCTCCACAATGGCTTCCTAATATCGGAAGCTAGAGCGTACCAGATGGGCGCCTAAGTTTATCTGAAAGCACGCGATGCGGTAATCATCTGTTTGATGGCTAGCCAAAAGCTGCTGCGAGGATGACCGACGAGATCAGCGAGGTATTGTGGTTCATTTGTTCAGTGCACTTGGTGTATAATGAGTGCGAATTAGTGAATTTGAATGGACTCATCTGGTTAAAATAAAAAAAATATACAGATCGTCTTCTCCGCTTACCTCTTAAACTTTACAATCACCGTTAAGACGCTCGGCTTAAATTTCCATGACTACAGAGTCGAGATTTGATTCGGGAACAAATGTTTCGTCTCATTTGCACCACAATCAAAAAGCTGCGCTGTCCCCATCTCCCTGTCTTGTGATGGGCAACATTCTTCAGAAAAGCTCCTGAGATGTGTAACCCAGTGACGGCCAGAGACACCCAGGTGTCTTCGAGAAAATCCAATGAACTGCTAAGAAGTAGCTGCAGTAAAATGCCGATTTTATGCCCTCCCGTTTTTACCTACTTTCGCCACAACACACTCTACGTATTGCGACCCAATCCCGTTTTACGTGCTGTGGTAGGTAGCTCGCCGTAGCGTACTCGAGATGTACGAACCTTCCCATCAAGGCCCACATTTCTTACGTTCCATGGCGACATGCAGGCGCCAGGTGTCCCGAGGCGGCACCCCCAAGCGTTGGCATCCCTGACGATACAGTCGTCTGTTTCATGTGTACACGTACTCCATCCATTCCCCCCCCCTCGCCCAAATACCTGTTTGTGACGACTATTTTACATGGAAAAACGAATATTATATGTAGTATAATATGAAAGGTAATGTATATTAATAATATACACTTTTCACACCGATGGTTGTACAGGCTAAATGTTTAGTGTGATTGAGCACACTCTGTCTCGGTTCTGTACCACGTTGCGATCCATCATCCCGTCTCTTGGCTTCGATGGAAGTGCAGGCGGTCCTCGACTTGACGAAACCGGCGGCTATGAATCGTTTCTTCGACTTAAAACGCGAATTCGCTCTTGCTAACTGAACCGTGTAAACTATTTTTGCTCGGTGGAGCGACATGTATGGAGTCATTCATAATAAAGGTTTTTTTTTTCTGGGTGAGATCGTGTGAGCATAAATGTGTCGTAACCCTCCACCACCCGACTTCGGCCATTAAGGTTTGTCGCGTAAACAACACGCGCCAATTTAGTTTTTACTTCAGCCCACCTGTGTGTTGGAGAGTAAATTCACAACATCAGCCTCACGCTGTGAGTGTTGTGTGTAGTGGGGAGCGGTAGTGTAGTAGCGGTGAGCGCTACGCTGCGCTGCGAACCCGAGCAACCGGGTTCGATTCCCGCTCACGGCCACCAACACTGGTGACGATTTTCTGAACCGGTGCTGGGCCTCCCCTAGGTCGGCTCAGCCTCGAGTGAGTACCTGGTGCGGTGTGTACAACATCGCCGCTAGGAAGACAAAGGCGACCGGGCGTGGTTGTGGCCACCCATCCCCTCGTCTGCCACAGAGTGCCGGCCCTCATAGGTGCTGCTACTCGCAAAACAAATGCGTCAACAGTCTGTTAAGATCTCTTACCTATGCAGCCCTTTTGCCCACTTCAGCAATTGTTTCCTGCTGTGGTTGCCCCACCTGATGACGGACGCTTGTGTTGCGCCCGAAACGTCGTGATTAAATGTATTTTATTTTATACCTACGTGACTTTACCGAAATAACCGAAGGGTATATGGTCTGTTAAGACTATATGCTTTGTAGTGTAGTGGTTAGTCCGGGTAGAACCCAACCACACTACCTATCTCCTCGGCTGTGGTGGATGCTAATGCTGTGGCGGATGCTAATGCTGTGGTGGATTCTACTGCTGTGGTGGATGCTAATGCTGTGGTGGATGTGAACAATGCCATGGGAGTGAAGGCGGATCCCGTCACGGCGATCTCGTAGCCACCACAGCTGACAGCGGGGGGGCTCTGGGATGGGTGCGAGGGGCTGGCGTGGGGGGCTCTGGGATGGGTGCGAGGGGCTGGCGTGGGGGGCTCTGGGATGGGTGTGAGGGGTTGGAATGGGGGGGGGGGGGGCTCTGGGATGGGTGTGAGGGGCTGGAATGGGGGGGGGGGCTCTGGGATGGGTGCGAGGGGCTGGAATGGGGGGCTCTGGGATGGGTGCGAGGGGCTGGAATGGGGGGGGGCTCTGGGATGGGTGCGAGGGGCTGGCGTGGTCGTCACCCCCCCCCCCTCCACCGTCGACTTAGTGACCACAAACTACGCGTTGCTTCCACTGTGTTCAGTTGAACCGTGACGCACTTCATGACACTGGCCGTACGGGCGTTTAACAACAGTTGGCTTGTTGTGCTCCGGCTTAGGGAACTGTTCGTTCACCCACTCCTCACTACTCCCTCACTCAAGCTCCCCTCTATGATCCCTCACCACTCATCCCCCCTCACCCCCTCACCACTCACCTCACCCCCCCCTCACCCCCCCCTCACCCCCCCCCCTCACCCCCCCTCCCCCCCCCTCACCCCCCCCTCACCCCCCCCCCCTCACCCCCCCCCCCCTCACCCCCCCCCCCTCACCCCCCCCCCCTCACCCCCCCTCACCCCCCCCCTCACCCCCCCCCTCACCCCCCCCTCACCCCCCCTCACCCCCCCCTCACCTCCCCTCACCACTCACCCTCACCCCCCACCCCCCCCTCCTCACCCCCCCCTCCTCACCCCCCCCTCCTCACCCCCCCCCCCTCACCGCTCATCTCTCCCTCACCCCCTCATTTTTTCACCGCGTCAACAATCGATTCGGCTTAACGGAATCGAATACATCGATTCATCCCGCCCCCCCCACCACTCCTCCCCGCGTCACGTGATGCTTGGCCGCGGAGGGATATAACCCGCGTGCTCCTCTGCGCCGCCGCCCCACCCCCCCCAGCAGCTCCCTCCGCCCACCACCGCGTCTGCGCATGCGCGCACCTTGCAGCGAGTCCCTTGCTCAACCCCCCCCACCCGTCGGATTTTTGTTTTCCTACTAAGCGACGCTGCGTTCGCAATTAACGAAGGCATTTAAATCAAACTCTCGTTATCGGAGCGCGGCGCAAGCAGTCTTAGAGGGGGTAAGGTAGAGGGAGAGAGGAGGGGGGGGGGATCGACTCGTCGGACAGCCCGGCTCGCACGTGAGTTTACCCGCGCGTTCAACCCGCTCTCGCGGTGATGGTTGTGGTCGTCGTGGTGGTGATGGTTGTTGTTTGTTGTTGTTGCGATGGGTGTTGTTATGGGCGCTGCTCTTCCAGCCGCGTTTTTGGCGGGGGGGAGGCGGGAGGGTCGATGTTGCTGCAGATTAAAAAAAAAAATAAGATTTTTGGTCGCGATGCTAAAATATTCAGCGCCTCAGCCGCGCTCGGCCTCGTCTGTAGAGGCCTGCACTGTACCGCGATCGCACTGTACACCAATCGCGTTGTAGCGCGATTGCATTGCACACCAATCGCACTGTACCGCCAACGCACCGTACGCAAATCGAACTATCGCGATCGCACTGTACACCAATCGCACTACCCGTGATTGCATTGTACACCGAGCCGCACTGTACACCGATCGCACTGTACCGCGATTGCATCGCGCGCCAATCGCACTGTACCGCGACCGCACTGTACGCAGGGGCGCACTGTACCGCGATCGCACTGTACACCGACTCTTCCCCCCTCCCCCCCACACACACACACTGTACCGTGACTGCACTGTACCCGCGTCTACGCGCACTGTACACCCAGCTGCGCTAATCTCGCACCGAACACGAATCGCCGCCACCACCGCCGCCTTGCTGCGTCAGCGAGGACGACGACGCAAGGCGACGGCGGCGGCATTGAAAGTCGTTACCCCCCCCCCCCCCCCCCCCCCGCGCCCCCCCCCCCCCCCCCCCCCCCCGCGCCCCCCCCCCCGGCCCCCCCCGGCCCCCCCTCCCGTCTCTCTCCTCGATCAGCCCCGCCGATCGCCGCGTCGTACACAACCGGCACTCATTCCTCGGCGTGGCACCCGTACTAACTGTACTGCACGCTTGACTGCACTGTATTAAATTTTGATTTAAAGCTTTCGTGACTGCAGTAATTCATATTCTTAGCTCTTTCGGTAAAGTCACGTTGAAGGGAAACAATAAAATAATATAGATTTTATTATTTTGTTTCCCTTCAACGTGACTTTACCGAAAGAGCAAAGAATATGCAGTGTATTATTACTTAATCGCTGCAGCGATTAAGTAATAATACAAAGATAAAGATCCCCCCCCCCCCCCCGTGTAGCCTGTAACAGACTGTAGGGGCAAGTGCTGTTAGCGAGTAGCAGCAGCAGCACCTGTGAAGGCCACCGGCACTGTGGCACACGATGGGGGGGTGGGTGGTCAACACCACGCCTGGGGTCCGCCTTTGTCTCCCCAAGTGGCGGTGTTGACACGCCGTACCGGGTACTCAATTTGAGGCCGAGTCGACCTAGGGGAGGCCCCGGGACCGGTTCAGATAATCGTCACTGGTGGTGTTGGCCGTGAGCGGGAATCAAACCCGGGTCGCCAGGTTCATAGCGCAGCGTAGCGCTAACGCGCACACTCACACTCACACACTCTCACACACACTCTCACACACACTCTCACACACACTCTCACACACACTCACACACACTCACACACACACTCACACACACACTCACACACACACACACTCACTCACACACTCTCACACACTCTCACACACTCACACACTCACACACACACACTCACACACTCTCACACACACTCTCACACACTCACACACACACTCTCACACACACACTCCGCACAAATCACACTTCCCGTTGAGCCGACATCGTCCCCTGCGCTCGCCAGCCCACCAACCTTACCCAAGCTGCTGCTCTCCTGCCTGGCTTTTGACAGCCATATGTGGCCCCCGTTGTTTTGTGCGTGTGCGTTATGTTGGCCGTGTGAGCGTCAAGAAAATTGATTGCCGGTCACGGGTAACATCAGCAGCGATCACGTTAACACCGGTTCTGTAGAGCTACTCTCGGTCCAACACGAGTACCTGGTTCGGTGTGTAAAACATCAGCATTTGGGAGATGAAGGCGTCTGGGCATGGTGCGACTATTACTATTTACTATTCTTCATTTGCCATGTAAGGCCCACTGAGCTATGTGGCTCCTTTTTTCAACCAAGTGGCAGCCAAATGCGATGAAACGCACGTTGATTCCTAATGGGGAGATTAAAAAAAAACGTAGGACCCGGATAAAAATCCACGTGACCACGGGGAGAGAGAGAGAGACACGCAAACCCCAAATATACAGCAGCAGGCATCAGGGTCCGGGATCGAAGCCATGACCTCCTGTATACCAGGCGAGGTAGTTAACATCTCCTAGCCACCGTGGCTACTGACCACACCACCCCCTCGTGTGCCGTGTCAAGCATTAATAGGAGCCCTTGCTCCACCCAGCGGTCTGTGTGTCTAAACGGGTGGGGAACCTTCGTCTTGTCACGCTCCGTAGCGTGCTGTCAGTGCCTGGCCTTGGCTTCAGTGTCTGCTCCACGGGCGCCTGATCCGTCTAAATGTAGTACAATGCCAATATGAATGTGTGTGTGTGTGTCAACAGAGCGGTAGTGTAGCGGTTAGCGCATTGCACTACGGACCTGGTGATGCGAACTTGATTCCCGCTCACGGCCAACACCAGTGACGATTATCTGAACCGGTCCTGGGCCTCCCCTCCTCGGTCGACTCAGCCTCAAATGAGTACCTGGTGGGGTGTGTACAAACATCGCCACTGGGGAGACAAAGGCGGCCAGGCGTGGTGTTGGCCACCCACCCCTTCGTGTGCCGTGCCGGCCTTCATAGGTGCTCGCTAACAGGATGTGCCCCAATAGTCTGTTCAGGCTGTTTGGGGGATCTTTGTCAACATAGTGAGCGTGCTGAAGCAATACTTGACTTTATTTATTCATAATGGGAATATTTATACTGGAGGAATCCATTTGAGCTGTAAAGCAGTTTTTCACAGCTGTCATGTAGGGGCGTGTAAGAACGTTACAACAAACAATACAAAAACATGATCGTAGTGCAAAGTACGAGAGAGGTAAACAATCACCCAAACACCTACAAATATAACTAAAACCATCCCCATCCTACCAAGCAAAACCCACTGAGGTATTAACTTAATTTTCAGAAGCGACCTGGCCACAAATGATAGATCAACAAAGTGGACGGTGGGAAGGGTGCACAATGCACCATCCTACAATTCGCATGATTCTCGAACGCACTCTACTTCAATGTACGATTCCAACAGCATGTTATCCGTTGCGTTTTAGCAGTAACGAGATTTTGGCTTCACCAATCTTCAGTGTCACTTAAGGTAAAAACACGCTTTATCGGCTCTGGTGAGCTTTGTGGCCTTAACCTGATCATCGGGTGGCTTGCCGTAAAACAATCGCATCGTATTACATTTCCGATCTGCCGTTCACGGGGGGGAAAAAAAAAATAAAGACGTGAATTTTTTTTTTTTAAACCTAATTTAGAAACAAAAATTGGTACATCATAGTGAAAAATCTATGCCAACGTTAATCGTTGTCTCGGCAGAGGCGACGTTTCTCAACGGCTGTTTTGCCGTGCACGAGGTGTCTCCTGCGATGATTTGCGCATCGTTGGTGCGCCCAGCGTTGCTTCCATGCCCACGTGTGTCCAGCGTGGACAGCGTCGTTCTTGTTACAAGTTTTGAGCCACGGGCTGGCGGTGCAGTGGAGGGGGGGGGGGTTACGCGAGGTTGGTCGTATTGCACCATCCGCAGAGTGAAACAGAAGTTGGAAGCATCGAGGCACTGGTGCTCGTCTGTTTGGTTTACAGCCCTGAGCCAGCAGTGGCGGATATTCCACGTTCCTATGGTGGGGGCAAAGCCAACCACTGTTGACTTTCTCCACAGAGTAGTACTCAATTTTATCGGCCCCCGGCAGTGACAATCGGTTGTCGACACCCAACCGAGGATTTGAGCTCGCAACCTCCCGGTAGCGGGAGACGCTCGCTTGCCCCACCGGCGAGCCACCTTGGCCGGTGTGCCGAGGTGCGTCGCCGTTCTCCCACAAACTTTTCCCCGAAGCGTGGTCGCGTGGGCCGAGGGCGCGCGCACACAACGGCATGTCGCTTCAGTGCCACGGGGGCCGAGCGTGAACGCGAGTGCCCCCGGTGCTTTGAAACAACTTTTTTGAGCTGCTTGGGCAAAATTGCCGTGACGAAAAGCAAAAGTGAGCAATGATTGGTTGGTTGGGTGGGGTTTGGGGCGGTTTGTTCAGTCGTTAAAGGGAAACGTTTCACATCCGACAGCCTTCTGGTGAATGTTCCCTGCACTGTTGGCGTGAGAAGCAAGGCAGGCCCGGGACTGGTTTTTAATATCCTCGCTGATTCTCGTCGTTGAAACAATGCCCGCCAACACGGCTCCTGTCCCAAAAATCTGCGGCTGCCCGGTCAGCTGGCCCACGGTGTTGCTGATGAGACGGAAGGTGTAAGGCTTGCCCTTAACGCGTTTCTTACTGAGAAACATTAATTTCGAAGGGCCAACAAGCCAACGTGTGTCAACACGCTCCTTCACATTAATGACATTAATCCCCCTCGTCCCGCCGTTTATTTTTAACGCCCGAGAGGCATCTTGTTGCTCGGCCGTTTTTTTTTTTAGGTCTTGGGAACTGAGCGATAATTAAGTCCGGTTATGTTTGGGAAAAGGCTCCGTAAGAAACGGGCGAGCAACGCGCGCCGTCTTGAATCGTCGGCGTCACGGTCTTTTTGTCGATGCCGGCTTTTCGGTTTCGCGTCCGCCCCGTCTGGTCGCCTGCGTTGGCCGCGTCTTACGTCGTTTCGTGCCGGCTCCGGGATCCCCTGACCCCTGTTGATCGGTCGGTCGGTCGGTCCCTTTGGTTGGTTAGTCGGCCGTTCGGTTGGTTGGTTCCCACGGAACGCTTAAGAAATTTACGATGCCGCGAAACAAAACATTAGGATGGTCGCAAGTGGCGGCGCACGTTTCCCCAAAGCCTTAACGTTTTCAAATAACAAAAAATCCCCTCGCCCTCCTGGATCATTTCGTGCCGCAGCAAGACGCACCTCCGGCGTCAGCCTCGCCGCTGACAAGGAGACGGAAGGCAACGAGCGGAAAAGCTGTTTTGATTCAAATGTTATTTATCCCGAGCACCACGCGCAGATTTCCCCTGACAATGATCTCTTCTCTATTGCTAGGGACTCTACCGTTAGCAAGTGCCGGAAAATGGCTGAGAATGCCGAGGATGACGTTAACTTGCTTAGTACCAAGCAGCTCTCCACTCTGCTGCAAGAGCTGTGGGAGCTGCGCGAGCGCGGCTCCTTCTGCGACGTCGTCGTCGAGGTGCAGAGCCGCCGCTACCTGGCGCACAAGGCGGTGCTGAGCAGCACCAGCGGCTACTTCCGCAGCCTCTTCCTGGGCGCGCCCTGCAGCAGCATGGGGCCCTTCGTGGTGGACTTTGTCTCCATGGGAACGTTCGAGCAGGTGCTGGGCTACGTGTACCGCGGCGACGTGACGGTGAGCCGCGCCGACGTGCGCCCGCTGCGCCGCGCCGCCCGGAAGCTGGAGCTGCGCTGCCTGGTGGAGGCGTGCGAGCCGTACGTCGGCTGCGGCGACGACGAGGAGGAGGAGGAGGACGACGACGAAGACGACGACGACGACCTCGCGTTCGGCGGCGAGAACGCGGCCGAAGAGAACGGCGAGTCCAACGGGCGCGACGACGACGACCCGTTCGACATCGGGAACGACTTCTCGGCCGTCGCCGCCGCCGCAGCCGCCGTCGCCCCTGCCGCGGACTGCGACGGCTGGAACGGAGAGAGAGAAGATCGCGCGGACAAGGAGCGCGACGCGGGCGACGCCGGCGGCCTGGGGGACGACGCCGGCGGCCTGGGCGACGACTACGCCGGTCGCGGCGCCTCTCCCGCACATTGCATCAAGAGCGAACCCCAGTGCGAACCGCCGGCCGAGGGGCTCGCGTGGCCCGTGAAGGCCGAGGAGCTCGGCGGCCGAGCCGACTGCCTCTACGCGGACGCCGGCGGCGAAGGCCTCGACGGCGGCGACGACGGCGACTACGACGGCGACGGCCGCTGGCGCCGCGTCCCGCCGCAGGGGCCGGCGTTCGGCCTCGAGCCGGAGCCGGCGGCGATGGCGCTGTCGTCGGCGAGCGTCTCGCTGGAGAAGCGCTACCGGCACGCGGCGGGGGGCGCGCCCGAGCGGGTGCAGTGCGGCGCGTGCGGGGAGCCGATGGACGCCAGCGTGTCGCTGCTGCGCGAGCACTCGTGCACGCACCTGGACCTGGAGCGCCTCGAGTGCCGCCTGTGCGGGGCCCGCTTCGCCTACGTCAGCGAGGCGGTGGAGCACGCGCTGGCTCACACGGGCGTGCCGGTGATGGCGTGCGCGCACTGCGGCCGCCGCTTCGTGTCGGAGAGGCTCATGGGCGTCCACGCCTCCGGGCGCTGCCGCAAGAACCGCGGCTCGCGGGGCGGGGGCGGGGGCGGCGGCCGCTCGGCCCCGCCGCGCCACCCGGCGTCGGCGGCGTCGGCGGGGCCGCGCGCCGACTGCGCCGAGCGGCTGCCGTGCAAGGTGTGCGCCGAGCCGCTGGCCCAGAGCATGTCGGCGCTGCGCGAGCACGGACGCCTGCACGTGGACGCGGAGCGGCACGCGTGCAGGGTGTGCGGCCTGCAGATGACGTCGAGCGGCAACCTCGTCAAGCACTCGCTGCTGCACATCGGCATCCTGCTGTTCTGCTGCGACTCGTGCAGCAAGAAATTCCTCTTCAAGAACCAGCTGGAGAGGCACCACAAGATCCGGTGCTGCGGCGGAGCCATGGGGGGGGGGTATGGCGGCGGCGGCGCCGCGGTTGGCGAGTGACGCCCCGGCGTACGTCGATTTGTGCATCGCCCCCCCCCCCCCGCCCCGCCCCGCCCGCCCCGCCCACCCGCGTCTGAATCAAAGACGTCTGAATCAAAGACATATATCAACTGTGTGACGCCACGTTGGCACACTTGTTTGGATGTCGTGCCGGTCAGAGAGCGTGAGGCAGCCCGTGCGTGCGTACGAGCCTCGGGGGGGACGGTCGCGGTCGTTGGCCTGGCACGGAGAGTGGTGGCCAGGTGGGTGCAGGTTGAAGGTAGCGAGTCGCTAACCGAAGAGGGACGCGGTTCTAATGATGGAGACTTCGGTGACTGTTCGTTAGAACAAACAAAAAAAATTGGCATGGAAAATAAAAGTAACGTCTGAAACAAAGCAATGTTAAGTGGAATACGGAATTGCATAAAATGTGTTTTTTTTTTAATTTTAGCACCACGGACTTATGCACGAATATATTCCACTGAGCAAGCAAAGTAAACAACAGGAACATTGAAAGTGTGTTCGGAAAAATTAAAGGAAGAACTAACACAGAATGGCTTGACAACATCCAGAGATTGGTGCCAGAAAGATGTGACTACTACTTGAGCAAATTGTATCGGCACTACAAGACAGAGGAAAGTGGAAACAAATGACAAAATATGCAGTGGACACCAACGGGGCTATCTGCCCATGGACCGTGATGATGATGGTGATGAAGCAAAATAAAACGATAAACGTGAACTCAAAAATGCGCGTTTTAAATATCGTTAAAGTTAGCTTTTTGTACGTTCCTGCCTGCCTAAAAGTTATTTCAAATGGTTGTGTCCCTGCTCGGTAATAAGGGGTTGAACGTTAAGAAGTCATTATATGCCTGGTTCTTTTTGTGTTTTACAGTTGTATGGGAATGTGACCGCAGTTTCGGATCAAAGCCTCTTAATTCATTTACGGGGGGGGTTACCTTGGCAGAATAAACCAAACGGATCGTTCAGTTGTGAGCTTAGAGATTTCGGGGCGGGCGGTGTTGTGGGGGGGGGGGGGGGGTTTCGGCTTTTTGTAAAACACAGATCGCGTGTGACTTAATCGATGCAAATTGTCACGAATGAATGGTGACAAGTGATTGAGAGTGTCTAATGAGCGACGTGACTTGCAAGCGGGACGGCCGCAGGGAGAGGTCCCTGTACGCATCCACCAGTTCGTGGGCTTTCCCAAACAAACAAAAAAGACAGACGTACGTCGCACCTACGTGATTTCTATTTGCGACAATAGAATTGGTGACTATTTATTTTGTTACCTTGTCGTAACAAGGCACTGTCGGTCAGAGACAGCCGGTGTTTAACAGACGCGCATGCGTGTGCATGCTCTCGTGCGCGTGTGTGTGCGCCGAACTGGGACAGAGCCCCATCAGTGAGCTCCTCTGGAAAGAGGAGCGGCGCTCATGATAACGAGTGGAGCACCTGGCGGTTAAAACTCTGCAAGTTGGCACAGCGGGTGCATCTGCCAGTCATCTCAGTCGGTCAACCCTGCCAGCGGCGAGCCTTCGACACTTCACGCGATGGCCTAAAAGTGCACCTAGACTGGCACGAGCGCCGTGATGTCATCGCCAATTAGTGGCAAATGACGGTGGCTGTTGTTGCTGAGGAACGGATATCACGTGCAGTGCCAGGCCGTGACTCCAGTCTTGACGCGGCGTTACTCTGTCCCGGGTTTTCCACTGAATATTAGATACTTTGTAATGTGAAGGGCGCTTTACTCATCTCCACCCCTCAATTAAATGATCTTTGTTTTTTTCTACTCTCCCTTACCATACTGAGCTGTCTTCTCAACCACCCAGCACTGCAGCCTCCTACCCACTCGCCTTGGCCCTTCGCATGGTATGCATATTTCCCCACCTCCGCTCCCCCCCCCATCTTTGTACAGTGACTTGAGATGCGTTCACATTTTCGATGCTATGGGAATCCAAATTGTGATTTATATTGCACCGGTGCCGCACTCCACCAGACCGGTTTCCCTGGGAATCTGCGTGGGCTGCGAGCGACCGTCTGCTCCGTCAGCGCATTACACCTTCTGAGTGGGGTCTCTTTGTGGCTCTTGGGTCTGTGTGCTTCTGCGTGAGTCTATAGCTCTTTGTGTGAGAAGGTGCTGACGATTCAAGCCAGTGGCTCGCCTGTTTTTCACTGGGCCTCTATTTTGAGTCATTGGTTATCTGCGTGAATCTGGGTTTCTGTGTGCACCTATAGGTTCCTGTGTGAATCTGCGGGTCTATATGTGCATCCATGGACCTGCGCTTGAGTTTACCGGTCTCTTTGGGTCTCTGTTTAAGAAAGCACCGACGGTGTAGCCACCATATCGGTGCACTCCGGCTTTTCAACTATTCCATGGTGCCTGCATGCATCGTCACTTTTCAGACTGGGAAAACCCAGGATGGAGTTTGTAGCCTCCTCAACCTGGAGCCAGGAGCCGCAGCTGTTCCCATGTTGCGACTGCTGCTCACATAAACTGCTACCACTCGCAGGAATGAGATGAGCAGGGCACGCATGTGCCAGTGTCCGTAGGGAGCCATACAATCTGCGGCACAAGCCGCCGCCTAGCTGGTTGTTGGCAGGCAGGGTTGGTGGGTCATGCAGAGATTATTGTGAGTGTGCGTTCTTGTGTGCGAGGTCCAACCCGGGGTCAGGGTGACGGGGTCGAGAGGTCGGGTTGACGGGGATGGGGTGACGGGGTCAGGGTAGCAGGGGTGGGGTCGGGGTGGTGGGGTCAGGGTGGCGGTGAGGGGATCGGGTGAATGGCCGGTGGTTGAGTAATGTCGGAATCGCTTGTTTTTGCAGCCATCGTGCGTCCACAACGCCTTTGTGATGCAAATATCGTGTGTTTCGCCCAACAGACTATTGCAAGCAATCCTCGTGTGTTGTTCCGGGTAAGGAAAGGTTATAGGGCGTTCGTTCTCTCAAGCTCTTGACACGCACTACTGCGGGGCATCTTCACTTGAATTACGAGTGGCTCGCTCCACGAAGCACCCTCCGCACTGAAGCGACTTCTCCCGCAGGGCGAACGACCGAGGCGACGGCGTTTTCAACAAAGATTCGCGTCCAGCGAAACAGCATTGGGGGTGCAAAATATCCGTGGAAGCAATTGGTGGGCAGTTTACTGCGCGTGCCCTTGCAGTTGATGAAATGACTCGGACTAGGCAGCACTGTGGGCTGAGTTGATCCACTAGCAGTAAGCAAATGCAAGCTGAACTCTCTGTGCGTACGTATGTTGAACTTCTTTGGCACCGTAGGTAGCCAACCGTGCATAATCCGTAGGCGCAGGGGGGAGAAGGGCAAACGTGATTTAGTCGATCGGTCTATGCGCTTTCCAGTCCACGATTGTCCACCGGCATTGAAGGTAATAATAGGACGCTGGACAAATACACGTGCTGTTTACAGAATCGGAATATTTATTTATGCTGGAGGAATCCGATGAGCTATAAAGTCTCTTTTTCTCACAGATGTCCAGTAGGGGGGGGCGCGGGCTAAGACGGTTACAACAACAAACAGTACAAAAATACAATAGGAGTGGCAAGGTGCAAGAAAGGTCAACAAATCCTCCAAACACAAAACAAGTTAAACTGAACCATTCCCATCCTACCAGGCAAAGCCCACTGAGCTATTAACTCATTTTTCAGAAGCGACCTGGCCAGCTCAACAAAGCGGCCCATCATTTGGACATTATAGTAGCCAAAATAATCTACGTGGAGAGGCGGAGCCTAGTTGCGCATTGCGATTTGCTTTCGGCCGTGACGCCCCGCACAATTGGCTTGTTTACGCCGCTCGCTGTGGGTTTTCGAGTTCGCATCCTGGTCGGGGGGGTCGACCGAACCCATCATCCTTCTGGGGTCGGTTAAGTCAACACACCGCTTTGTGTGGGATAGTCCTTTGGAGGGACTGACCCGCGTCGTGGGAATTCCCTTCTGAGTTTAACACGTAGTAGTAGTTGTAACACGTAGTAGTGGAGAGAACTTTGAAGTTACTGATATTGTGGTGACGAATTGTTTTTGATTCGGCGCGCCCTGCTATCTACGCCGGTGCATCCTTTGGGCTCTTTACGTCAGTCTCATTCCAGAAGGATGCCCGTATCACTAACCCTCTGATGCTGTCGACCAGCCCAGCACGGTTGGCTCTGAATGGTGCGAAACAAGTTCAACATGCGTACATAAAATCCCGCGACGACGGCACTCGGCGACGGAGTGTGGAGATTTTCCCTCGAGCGGAAATGAGATGGGACTGTGGTGACTTGCTTCTCCGATGCTCGGCCGTGGGGTCTCCGGCAGGTGCAGTCGTTGGGACAGAATGGTGGACAACCCATAATCCAGATCAGAAACGGCACCTTTCAGTACCACCAGAGGTGGCGCGACTTTAACTGGTTCAAATTTCCCAATGTAGCCAAAACAACGACAGTGAGTTGTGTGATATCCACTTGAAATTAACGTGGTTATCAAGTTATTCCCTCTTATCCGCCTTATATATAAATCGGAAGCATGAAAGTTTTGATACTTTAGGTGGATCCGAAACCTGATCTGGCCCATGGACTAATAGGCCAAACTAAGATGTATTATTTGAACGCGTAAATTTCTATGGCCAATAAGTATATTATATTACGATGCACAATTTAAAAAAATGTTGGTTCGGGCCACGCGGTGATCTGGTCAAATCTGTGTTGTGAAGCCCTCCACCACCCCGCAAACCCAGCCAACTGAATTAAATCGCCACACCTACGAGCGTTTTGATGCGCCGATTACGATGACCGTTTTGTGGCCAGTTGAAGATAATTTTGCATTTGGAACGCGACCTTTCCGTTCATAAATACGCCCCGACGTCAAAGGGGGTGACGTTTCCTGTCCTCGATGTCACATGACCGGGCCCTGTTCCAAACAACGCAACGTCACCTCCGTGCGCCTGGCTGGCTTGAACAGTGATCCATTCATGCAGGGAAGTCTGCGTGTGCCAGTTCAACCTTTGCCGGTGTGCGATATGCGGTCGCGGGTTGGGGGGCGCACTTGAATCTGCCCAGAAGTTAATGTTTGTGAACTATTTACCGCGCAAAAATAAACGACCTTGTTTAGGAAATCCTAACGCGGTGGGCGGCGTTTTTTTTTTGTCGTCGCCCTGTTGGAATCTTCGGTACCCCGCCCCAACCGCGCAAGCTCACGGCGTAGCCACGGCATCGCCACAGCACAGGGCACGGTCGCTCGGCATGGTGCGACGCGGTGCGAGACCCTGGGCTACAGAATAACAGTGGCCCCGCGTTGTCCAGATGGGAGAGACGTGCTCCTTTCCCGCGTGTTTTTGAAGTTGAAAATGCGTGGCTTGCAAAGAGGTTCAACGTGCAGACGAGACGGTCTGTGGTGACGTGTTGAATGGACGCAGTGTGGTGAAGCGGCATGTCGACTGGACATGGGTCTGTAGTGACAGCGTGTGGATTAGAGACGCGGTGTGTAACGACACCGCATGTAGACTTAAGAGACACGGTCTGTGTTGATACAGCGCATGTACTATACGCAACTTGACGCGGCACACAACGGCCTGCTCTTGAGAACGACGTCAAGGGATCTTCGGCGTTCAATTTGAGCGAAGAAAGACGGCCCCCTCCTGTGTCTGCACACCGCAGTGTTAATCGGGGGCAGCCGCTGGATTCGAATCGCAAAGGTCCGTGATGAACGGAGCACGCGCCACCCCGGGGTCTTTGTCTCCGTCGCCGCTGCTGCCCATCCTCGGGGAGTTCTGGGCCGACGACCTCTCGGCTTCAACCGTTCGACCTTCACTCCTCATTTAGAATGATGTCTAGGGGGGACCCATTACTTAATTATTCATAGAGGAGAGGCCACACTGTGTCATAGGAGGTTTTTTTTTATCAAGAGGGTGTTGCTACATTGTTATTTTACGATGTTTTCCGGCCCCATCGCGGGTTCATTGGAGGTGTCAGCAGCTCGGGGGGGAGAGGTAGGTTACATTGTGGGGCGGGGGAAGAGGTAGGTTACATTGTGGTGCGGGGGGGAGGGAAGATGATGTTTTGTTTACAGAAAAATATATTTAAAAAAAGGATTTGTGCTTGCATTTCAATTGTCATTGGCAGTACACGTGATCACTCACCAAGTCTCAAGGATCTGCCGATAACATTTATGTATGTTTTATTAGCTATGGGAGGAAACCGCAGAAAACCCGTGCAGAAACTCCCGTTTCAAAGACAAATCCCCCACATAGCCTGAGCAGATTGTTGGGGCAAGTACTGTTAACGAGTAGCACCTACAAAAGCCATGACTTTTGTTCACCTCGTGGCGATGTTTCCACTGGGCACTCAGTTGAGGCTGGGTCTACCTAGGGGAAGCCCAGAACCGGTTCAGATAATCATCAATGGTCAGCGGGAATCGAAATCCGTTCGCCGGGTTTGTAGCGCACGCTTGGAGGGATTCCACTCGGCTCGTCATGATCCGTCGACCATCGCCGTCACATTGTTACAAGGGGATGACCGATTTTACAAATCGCATCCGTGGAAAAAATGACGAGAAACCCTTTCCCCTTGGGCTGATGCAAAGGGCGGTGGGGGAAGTGGGACGGGGCGAAAGAGGGGGAGCGCGTACGATCATTTCCCAATCAATATTCTTTTTAACTTGGACGATTTCCCGCTGTGCCTGCAGAGACGCCACCGCGGCCCTCCTCCTCCCACCGCCCCCCCCCCGCCACCCCCCGTGCCGAGATGGAGGTGGGCGCCGCCGAGGAGATCTGCCTCTCCACCAACAAGCAGCTGTCGGACCTGCTGCAGGAGCTGTGCGAGCTGCGCGAGCGCGGCTCCTTCTGCGACGTCGTCGTCGAGGTGCAGAGCTGCCGCTACCTGGCGCACAAGGCGGTGCTGAGCAGCACCAGCGGCTACTTCCGCAGCCTCTTCCTGGGCGCGCCCTGCAGCAACATGGGGCCCTTCGTGGTGGACTGCGTGGGCGCCAACGCTTTCGAGCTCGCGCTTGACTTCGTCTACAAGGGCACGGTCACCGTGGGAAGCCTCGCCGACCTTGGCGAGCTCCACCGGAGCGCCCAGAAACTGGGCATCGTCGGCCTGGAGGAGGCCTGCTCGCCGTTCTTGCCCGTCCTGCCCGCGTGCCCCGAGGACGCTTCTCCGGCGGCGAACGCGGACGAGCTGAACATTGTGGAGGTGGCGCGTGTGAGCACGGTATCGGTCTTTCAGTACGGCGACGACGGCGACGACGGCGACGACGGTGACGACGACGGCGACGACGGCGACGACGGCGATGACGACGGAGGAGGAGGGGGCGGCATGCACGCCCCCCAGGCCAAGTGCTCACCGGCGCCGAGGTTCGGCGCGGGCCTCGCCAGGGGGGTTGGCGGCAGCGGGGCCTTCGTGGAGTGGCCGCTCGTCCGTGAGCCGTTTGGCGGCGGTGTCGCCGCCCGCGTCGGGGAACCCGCGCAGCCACGCTTCGCCGCCAGCCAGGAGCGCCCGCTCCATGATTTCCCGCGCGGCGCGTTCAGGGGCGGAACCGGCGCGGCCTTTGGCGCGCTGGTTCCCGCCGCCGATTACCGGATCAAGGTGGAGTCTCCCGACGAGGAGCTGTACGAGGGTGCGGGCAACGCACGCGACGGCCTCGGCTTCGCCAAGCAGGAGCTGGACTTGGCGGCCACCATCCTGGAGGACGGAAAGCAGCCGCTCTCCTTCTTGCGGATGGCGTCGCCCTCCCAGGGTCGCTTCGCGGCCGGCGTCGGCGGTATCGGCGTCCGGGACGACGAGGAGGACGAGGAGGACGAGGAGTACGACGACGATGACGCGGTGGCGGCGGCGGCGGCGGCGGCGGAGGCGGCGGCGGCGTGCGCGATCGTGCGGTGCCGGGCGTGCGGCGAGGCCGTCGAGGAGAGCGTGTCGGCGCTGCGCGAGCACTCGTGCGGCCACCTGGACATGGAGCGTCTCGCGTGCCGCATCTGCGGCCTGCGCTTCGGCAACATCAGCGACGCGGTGGAGCACGCCCTGCTGCACACGGGCGTGGCGCTGCTCGCCTGCAAGCACTGCGGACACAAGTTCCTGTCGCCCGAGAAGCTGAGCGCCCACGCGCGCGGCCAGTGCAAGAAGCGCAAGCACAAGGGCATCGGCACGCGCCTGTCGAATGTGCGCCAGCTCAAGTGGCAGCGGCAGGCGGTGCCCGCGGAGCGCGCGACCTGCGGCGCGTGTGGGGCGGCGGTGGCCGGCTGCATGTCGGACCTTCGTGACCACGGCCTCGTGCACCTGGACGTGGAGAACCAGCGGTGCCGCCTGTGCGGCTACGTGTCGCTCTACAAGAGCAACCTGGTGAAGCACTCGCTTGTGCACATCGGCGTGTACCTGTACTCGTGCCCCACCTGCCGCAAGAGCTTCCTCTTCAAGTACGAGATGGATCGTCACGTCTGCCTCAAGGCGAAGATGGAGACGGTCACGTAAGGGGGAGCCCGCGGAGCCGCGCGTTGCCTCCGCCGCTTTGTTGCGCGCGTCGATGCAAACGGGCGGAAACCTGGCGGCGGCGGCGGCGGCGGCGGCGGCGGTGGTGGCGGTGGTGATGATGATGGTGGTGGTGATGATGGGACGAGCTGAAATGGTTAACAGGAGACGACTGCTTGGCCCAGCAGTCGGTTTTCTTGTCGCCAAACCACCTGACGTGGGTTGAATTCTCTGCTGCTGCTGTTCAAGTGTTCCGACAGGCCAGAGCAGTGAAGGGGATGTTAAAAACCCTGTGGCATCGTCCACAAGAGTGGCCCCTCGTGTGGCCAGTGTCCAAATCCCACAGCAAAATGAGTTTTGGGCGGCGCTGCTGGTCCTCAGCCAAGTGGTGACATTTCACATTCCTATAACAAGGCCCCATTGTGAATGCAATAGTTTTTGACTTCCCCGCAACTCAGCAGTCTGCTCATTTAACCTACCCCAGCGAGATGGTGAGGATGACGACGGTGAAGAGTATGATGATGATGATAATTATGACGACGCTGGGGTTGAGTCGTCCCTGATTGGGACCCGAACTGATAACTGCACGATCACGAATCCGGTGCTCGATAAACTCGGTGACCTCTAATGCCCGTCCGTCGCTAAATATAAATTGGTGAAAATAACAGCCGCCGTCTGGTACGATCGTACTGGTCTTCCTGTACCAAAGAGGCGTCGCGTCTCAAGCGACTCGCGCGACGAGAGGACTTGCGCGCTGCCCTTCGGTTGCGTTTTTTTTTATTTTTAGTAACGCGAAGAGAAATGATCCCGCACGCTTCCCTTTAATCACCATTGAGAGTCGTACGGCTCTTTTCCGCGAAGCTACGCAACATATCAAAGAACCGTGTACGTAGGCAGGCAGCGGTTGGAACTCCACGGTCGGGACATTGGCCACCAAACGCATTCCTTGCGTGGTAAAAAAGTTTGCGCGACGAGCTCGAGCGATCTTGAACGGCGCCTGATGGAAGCATCGGAAATGTTCGGAGCTGAGACGCCATAAAACCATCCGGGGGCACCCTCTCTTGAATGTCGGTGCGGTTCTCATCGCCAAAGCCACAACAGGCTCATAGGGGCGTACAATCTGCCTGCTGCCACGCGTACGCCGATCGTTTTTCCATGACAGTGTCGTCATCCGCCGGTCGTCTCATGATATGTTTTCATGAAATCCCGCAGGGCCACGGAACGTTGTGTAGACAATCGGACGGACCGGCAGGTGATAGCGGCTTCCCAGATCGGAAGGCACTCCTGGTAGCCGGGCTCACCGCCCGTCCTCCCGCCACCAGCAGTGCCCCAAGTAAGGGAAATCGTGGCTCCTGCTGAGCCGTGCTACTCCGGTGTGGCTCAAGAGAACAGAGTCAACGATGGCGTTGCAGAGCCGGAAGCCGGATGTCCTGCGACCGACAGCGGTGCCCGTAACAGACTCTCTCCGCGGTCACTCCCGCGAGCGATGCTGGCAATGCCAAGGTCCACCTTCGCGCTCGGAGCCAGAAGACTTTCCAGGTTCTTCGGACACGTTGCCCCAGCGGACGACCTCGGCGGATCAACACCAGGAACCCCCGGGGGCGGGTCCCCGCTTGACATGAACCACGCACGGTCGAGGCCAATCTTCACCACCGTGGCCTTGGTCCCGCAACCGAGTGTGGCGGCGAGGCCCAGGGTAGGGTCGCCTGGTGGCGTCTCATGGGGACCGCTAATGCCCTGGAGGGGTTTGCGCCTCATGACGACGCTGATGATGGTGGTCATGATGATAGGGCTCATGGCATCAACCGCAGAGGTCGTTCCCCGGGCAAGGCTGCGTGTGATGAGGCCACTGCAATGGGCCCTGCTGCGCTCCCGAGACCCGCGACACGGCAACCTCCCCGACAGGTTGTGCGGCTGACCCCTCGGGGACATCCAGGACGTGGCCTGGAGGACTGACCGACCAGTCGGGGGGATGACTTTATGAGATGTCTCATCGGTTCGCTCGCCCACATTCGTCAGGCCGGCCTGATTCCTCGGAATCGAGACGTCTTTGTGTTTCGACGGAATGACCCCCAACCTTTAACCGCAAAACCACCACCAGTGCCAGTAAAAAATACATCGGCCACGAGGCCAGGGTACAGCTGCAATCAGACCTGGCCAACAATGCGTTCTGGAAAATAATTTCATTTTATTCAAGCAGACCAGTTTTCAGCCTCTCCAGGCCCTGTCTCCTTCCTCTTTAGACCCGACACTGTTACTCCTTAAGCCCCACCTCTTCCTGATTAGACCCCGCCTCTTCCTCTTTAGGCCCCACCCTGTTACTCCTTAAGCCCCACCTCTTCCTGATTAGACCCCACCTCTTCCTCCTTAAGCCCCACCTCCTGATTAAGCCCCACCTATTCCTCTTTTGGCCCAACTCTGTTACTCCTTTAAACCCCCACCCCTTCCCGATTTAGGCTCGGTCTTTCCTCCGGACACAGGGTTGGGATGTTTAGGTAGTCCGGGGGGGGGGGGGGTGCAGTGTGCATGTGCATCAAGTAGTTCGTGATGGGCAGTGACGTAGGGGGTAGGTGTGGGGTGGCTTCACGACAACAATCCCTCCTTAATGCGGAAAGTTAACAACAAGTGTAGCTATAGCTGTTACTCTCAAGTGTTGGTCTTCTATAAACCCCTTTAATTTCCCACGTGTATCTTAAAAATATTCACACCACCTCTTTCTGATAGTGTCATTGTACCCACAACAATCAAATCAAACGTGATGTAGTATAGCGCTCTTCACAATAAAATAAATGTCACGAGCGCTTTGCATATTGCATTACATTGATACAAATTTTAATCGCACAGTACAATTCAACAGTTTATCAGCCCACTCCCCGAGGGAGTAAAATAGGCCCCAGAATTTGAAAGTGGTGCTAAGCTGGCAAGACCATTCAACGCACTCGGGATTTGTGTCAGATCGAACAGACGGCTCTACAGCAACTGTTTAAATGTGGACAGACGACCACCAGTTTCCCTTATGCCAATGGCGAAATCGTTCCCCGACCTCGTCCGTTATCACCGAGGACCCCCACCTCCTTTCTTTGCTTGAACGCTCACGTTGCCAACCCTCTGGCAAATGCGTGCGACGATTGCCCAAAGTGTCGCCAAATTCATCCCCGTCTCTTCTCAAATCCGACCCGTCACCTGCGGGTGCGTTGCCCGGTGCTATAGGAAGCACATCCCCCCCCCCCCCCCCACTCTCGCCATCCCCTTGCTCGGTCTTCACTAATCGCCCGTGTCGCCGATGATCGCTGATGCCGCTTTAAAAGTGGGATCCGAGTCGGTGACCACCCGCACACTAAACCCGTTAACCGCTGCGGAGTCTCGCACGAAGCAAAGTGCGAAAGTCACTTTAGGGGGGTAGTCCTGGGGAGAAGTTGACAACATACATGTACGCGTATTTTTTTGTTTAAATGACCAATGCTAGCGTCTGCCGAAATAATCATTAGCTTTGTTGCGGAGAGTATAAGTAATGTAACGGAATAAATAACGGGCATCTTTTGCCTGTATCTGTCCCTCCACGTAAAAGTATTTTTTTACACACATCCCATGAGTCACAATTGACCCCTGCGCATGGGGCAACCTCAACAGGTGGCAGTCATTTTACTGACCCTGGACAGATGATTATTATGACGACAACGACTGGGCTGAGCTGAACTAAGACTTGGAGTGCAAAGATTGACACAATTGGCTCACGAGTGGTGGTAATTAGAGGAATGAGTTCGAAAGGCATTAAAATGACATCTGTTCCAGCGACCCCTATCAGTATTTTCCGCTTCGTGCATCTTAAATAAGAACTCTGTTGCAAAGACGCGGCCAAAATTGGAGTTGTGGCCGCACACATCGGAACGGTTTTACAGAGGATGGCGTTAACAGTTTCTATACAACCTGCAAACAACGTCTACCTCAATTCACGTTTACTAACCTCAAACACAGCTCTCTTAAACGGTGTTTGATTATAATTTTTTTGTAGAACGGGTGAATCGAAGTTGTGAATTTTTTTTTAAATTAACGATTTTTCCTGCGATTTTGCTCCGTTTGTGGCTCGCGACGGCCGGCCGAGGCCACAATTAGAGGCCCCCAGATGAACACCGGGCTACGTTTGTGGCTGGAAGCACGCTTAACAGGCACACGCAGCAACCAGTGCACGCACGGTGGAGCGGACGAGGCTTCCAGATCAACACCGGGCTGCGTTTGTGGCTGGAAGCACGCTTACCGGTCGCGCAGCAGTGAGAGCACACGGTAAGGCTTCAGGGTCGGAATCTAACCCAAATGTCCCGTAGGACCCGAGTGGACAAATAGACGAGAGTGCCAGTAGCAGGCCCTATGGAAGAGCGCCCGTGTTTTTTTATGCAAATAAATAGTGCTTTTGTCATTAACTTCTAATGTATATTTTACCTTGGCGTGAGAAGATATTTTTTTTTAATTCAACCGGTAATAGTAATACAGTAAAAGCTTGGATTGCGAGTAACTTCGTCTGCGAGTGTTTTGCAAGACGAGCAAAAATTGTAAATAAATATTAATTTGATAAACGAGCGAGGTCTTGCAATACCAGTAGTGTACGTGTAGACGCTTTGTACGCCGAGCGTCACGTGATCACACAACTGATACACGAGTGCTTTGATATACGAGTGCTTTGGATTACAAGCACGTTTCCGGAACGAATTGTGCTCGCAATCCAAGGTTTCACTGTAATGGTTACTCTCAACTGGGGCTGCATGCAAACAGCCGGTCTGAAGTGGTCGAATCTTACGCTCTCTTAAACGTCGCTGCTCACTTTTGTTATCAACTCGGTGCTTGGGTGGCTGCTGTTGCCCAGGCCACCACCATCCCGAAGTGGCATCGTCTCAGACTGGGCTGTACTTTGCCGATGAGCCCTAATAAGTCGTAACCCGGTCTCGTGTTTTTACCTTATTTAAACGAATGAAATAGCGAAATCATGAATGTAATGTTTTAGACCCCCCTTAGGTTCATGTAAACATCGTATTTCCCCTTTTTGAGAAATTACTCTTTTGTCAAGACTACCTTTAAAATGTCCTTCTGAGAGAGAGGGAGTTAGGAGTGTCCGGCAAAAACCCAGCCTTGTGTGGGAGGTGGACATGCATCTGGGTGGATGTGCTGTCCATGTTGAACTTCTTTTGCACCGTACGTAGACGACCATGCTCATCGCAGGTGCTGCGACGATCCACCACACCACCTGGATGCCTCCTCCCCTCCTCACGATCTGGTCAACCGTAGCTCCCCATTCGGGCTCAAAATGCAAGGCTGAAACAAACTCGGTACTAAACAAATGTTTTGTTTTTACAAGGTAAGGCCCACTGAGCTATGTAGCTCGCTTTTCAGAAGCGACATGGCCACAAATGATAGCGCAACAAAGTGAATAATCGCGTGGAAATTTCTTGCAGCCAAACTCTCTAAACGTGTGATGTTGATTTTAAATGTGGAAGGGAAAAACCGGAGATAAATCCATCCCACCCATGGGGAGAGAGAGAGAACATGCAAACTCCAAATAATATACAGCAGGCGTCAGGGTCTGGATCGAACCTCCTGCATACCAGGCGAGGGAGTGAACATCTCGCCACTGTGGCGCGCCATTGACGCTCATCAATTGCAACACTGTAGTCTTAACGTAAAAATAAATAAATAGCAAACGTTTGTGCAACACCATTTTCTTCATAGTACATTAATAGAGGTCAGAGAGGCCAAATTGGAAATAGTTGGAGGACTGCACTTGACTCTGGGACCCTGATAAAACTTTTTTTTTTTTAACTTTCTTAACGAACATTTTTAAAATTGGCATATTATCTACTCGCAGCTATTGAATAACGCAATAATTTGTGCGATGAAGAAGGGCCATTTCCCGAAAAGACGCCCGCCACGTTTAGAGTATTTGGCTGCTGCTTATAAATTTCCACGTGACAAACCGCCACTTGGTTCAGCTGCTGTCATTTGCGATGGGTCGCTTGTGAAAAAAAAGCTATACACAGCTCGGCGGGCCTTTCCTGGTATGTAGAAAAACAATGTTTAAATAGTTAAAACGTGTTACTTCTAAGTTCACAGTGTTATCAACGCGGAAACGTGTTACCGGAGTTTTTGTCGTGGCGTTTTCGGAATCGATGATCGGGACGTGATCGTGGCCCCGAAGGTGACACCCACGGGAAAGGGGGGGGGAGCTCTCATTGGCCAAAGACACGCACGCAGTCCTACCCCCGAAAGGGCCCGTCTCACGTCGAGTGACGGGGCTCATTTCGTACACAAGGACGCGTTACGTGTGCGCGTCGATTAACAATTGACGTGGCTTCACAATAATCGTCACGGGCGAGCACGTGTTTTCAGTGTGTATAGTAAACAGTACCGTTATTGTAGAATGTAATTTCACGTGAGAAATGCTCTTATATATGTAACGCACAGGAACAGTATTAGCGCTCACGAGCATTAGTGTCGTGTACGATGAATAAAAGTTTTATCGGTGACAAAAGCGAATCTCGCGATTGGTTCGGTGCATCTGTGCAGCAGCTGGGATACGCTTTGACTGCCGGGCGCGATTGACAAAACGCGTGGCTGTACATTGGGGGTAGCCGCTTGGTCAGCCAGAATAGAGCGGCGTGCCGGGGCAGTCCTAAGCGACAAAACGCCGGGACGGTTTGCGCCTCGCCGCATTCACAGTTTGGTGGAGTCCCTCTGCGGAGGAAATATCCAGCACACCTTCCCTCTGCCTCCACGTGTTGTACGGTTGACGAAATAACCACCACTCTCTCCTTCGAGTGTTCCAGGTTTTTTTTTTATTTGAAGGGTTTATTTTAAAATTTCACAAACCTGAGTACGTTTTAAAGTCCAAACAATTAACCTTGCATCACTTCAAAAAAACCGTGCCCACCTCCCCCCCCGTTCCTCGTGCACAGTATTTGCAGGCAGAAACGCATACCGTGGAATGTTTTTAAGTGTCCAGTATCGCCACCGCATGGGAACAAATGTCTTAAGTCTTAAAATCTGGGGTGGTGTTTGGGCATCACACTGACAAAAGCACTGTGGCTGGGGAAAACCCACAACTCCCCCTTATTAAAAAAAACAAAGTCTTGGGGGTGCATTTAACAAACACTTTGTAGGGCCACACATTTTACGATAAAAAAAAAGCACGTTTAGAAATAAAACTCCGTGCAATTCCGTACCGAGAAAACACGCAAGTTTACTTTTCAAAGTGATGATTTGCAAACCGTTACGAAAAGTAGCTGTTGTGGTATGTACAACTTAGTGTAAAGGTTATAGCTTTATATATGTACAGTTTGAAGTGCCAGTTAAAAGCAACGTTCAATGAGAATTCAATTGGTCACTTGGGCGCCCCACGGTTGCAATGAGCGGTGCCTGACGTTACCCTTAGCGGCGCGGTGTCTTGACCGAGACTCGGCCTCCGAATCTGTCGCAGGGGAAAGCCGTCGCAGCAAGGCCCTGGGTGCTTGGGACGATTCGTTTATCGACATTTTTTGCGAGCAGGAAACTGCGGAGTGCCCGGAGAAAACGCACAGACGCTGGAGCGCAGAAAACACAAACGCAACGTAACAGGAATAGTGAACGGAGAAACCATTTCTTGTGATCCTAAAGTGTTTGTTCTTGTTTGGTTCTTTCGGTAAAGTCACGTAGAATGAGAATAAATTAATAAAATAACAATAAAATTCTCATCACGTTTCGGCCACAACACAAGTGGCCTTCACCAGGTGAAGGGACGAGACTGTCTGGAGGACAGCGTCCCTTCACCTGATGAAGGGACGAGACTGTCTGGAGGACAGCGTCCCTTCACCTGATGAAGGCCACTTGTGTTGTGGCCGAAACGTCGTGAGAATTTTATTGTGTTATTTTATTTTATCAATTTATTATTTTATTCTCATTCTACGTGGTGACTTTACCGAAAGAACCAAAGAAGATGAATCCTTGCAGTCACGAAAGCTTTAAATCGAAATCCCAAAGTGTGTTTAAATTAGCGGCATGGGCCACCATCGGAGACTGATGTCATCTGTAAATCCCATTCACTACAAAAGAGCGGTGTGTCCCCCCTTCCTCGTATCCCAGTGCCCCATGTCTCACCCCCTGGCTTGTTTGTAGACACCTCCACGGCATTGTATAACAGAACTGTATGGGGGGGAAAAAAAGTCAATCGGTGGAGGCTGTGGCTAGAGCTGACAGCGGGAATACAATATTCGACCAGGTTCTGCTTAACCACCGGAAATCGATCAAAGTAACATTTTAGGTTCATCAGCCAAAAATGTGACCACTGGATTCTTATTTATCAGCGCTTGTTTAAACGGGCAAACTCCGAACCCGGTTTTCGAGTACATCGAGTCTCACCAGCAGGGTGTGTAACACGAGGCAGCCCAGCAACACTGCCCCGCGTTAGAGGGAAGAGCCGTTCAACCACCAACCCCACGTGGGTTGTTCGGACAGTAGAGCAACATGGACGTCACGGGAAACAGTTCTGCAACAGCTAGGACCATTAATAATTATAAATAATTTCTACGTTCAGGAAAAGCTTCTACCGGCTTTGGGTTCCTAATAAGTGCCCGGGATGAGCGAGTACCTGTTCAGAACGGAGTGTGCGTGCGTGCGAGTTCGTGATTGAGTTGCATTCGGAGTTTCATCCAATGAGACCGGGCGTTTGTTCGCTAAAAGCTCCCCCCCCCCTCAGTGTACAACCTCTCCCTCCCTGCGTCTCGAGCAACAACGGGGGGGGTCTCTCGGCCCGCGCGAGTCGGCACGAGTCCAACCCCCCACCCCCCTGCCCCGCAGTCCAACATCCCTCCCGCTAGACACCCGTTCGGTGCTCGCCCTTGTTGCATTGGCTTCCCGTTGCCGAACGAATACGGTGTGGAAGGCTGCGCTCGTCACACGCACACAAAGTGCTCGTCACAAATGAACCGGGACAGCTCGGTGACCTCGTCAAGGAGCATAAAACATCATGCGAACTCCGGTCATCCTCGCAGCAGCAGCGGCGGCGGCGGCATTTGGCTGGCCGTCGGATAAAGACGGTGACCGCTTTCAGATGTGGTTCTGCGGCCGTCTGGCACGCTCTTCCGATATTAGGAAGCCACTGGAGCTACGCGCTTTTAATTAAATAATCTAGATTGATAACTCGCTTCTATTGGAGCTCCTTTTTGCGTTTAGCTTGTTGTCCTCACCCCCCCCCCCCCCCCCCCCCCTGCACCTCTGATTAGCGCGGTTGGCTACGTACGTTGCGAAACAAAGTTGAGCGTACGTACGTACGTACCCACATGCGTCGCACGCTTCTGCCGGCGCCGGTGGCAGGAGGACCGTGAGCGACCCCCGGGGCTCGACCGGCGCCCTGCGGCCCGACCGGCGCCCCGTCCCCCCCTAAGCCCTGGCGCCGGCGCCGATGCTGCCGATCATCTTGTCGATTTTCTCGTCGTTGCGGTGGACGGACGCCTTGACGGCGCCGATCTGCTCCAGCTGCTCCTGGATCTGCTGATCGAGGGTCGTCAACTCGGCCCTCAGGGGCTCCAGCGCCTTCTCCGTCAGCCTTGGCGCGCGCACGAGAGACGGGCGCACGATAAGGATGTGCACGCTGTAACGGCTAAACCATCTTTTGTTTCGCCAGGTGAACGCCCCCGCCGAGGTACGCGACTCTTTTTTTTCAGAAGCGACCAACCGGCTATCACAAACGATAGCAGCTCAACGAAGTGGCTGATATCATCGTCGAGTGGAAACCACAGACCCATAGAGATGCAGAGAGACCCACAGACTAAACTATAACTAAACTATCTTGTATTTTTGTATTTCGCCAGGTGAACTCCCCCGCCGAGGTACACGACTCTTTTTTTCAGAAGCGATCACCTGGCTATCACAAATTGATGGCTCAACGAAGTGGCCTTATATTATCACGCTGACATTCATGGCAGCCAAATACATCTGTAGAAAAGATCTTCATAGCTCGTCGGATTCCTCACGTATAAAGATTCTGATTCTGAAATGTGGAGGGAAAAACCGGAGGACCTGGAGAAAAATACACACGGCCACAGGGTGAGAGACACGCAAACTCCCATATGTACAGTGTCAGGGTCGGGATCGAACCCACGACCTCTTGTATACCAGGCGAGGGAGTTAACACCGCAGTACCCTGTAGCGAGATGAGATGTAGTTGATAAGAGGACGGGCGAGACCGTAAAATATCTCGTGAACCCCCACAGCTTCGGCCGGTGATTCTCAACCGGGGGTACGCGGACCCCTGGGGGTACGTGGCAGCGTCCCAGGGGGTAGACGAGGTGACTTGTAAATGCGTTAAGTGACATATCGTACGCGAAGCCACTGGTGAATAGTCACGTGTTAATCTTCCAATATAAAATAACTACAATAACATTGAAATCCGTAAGCCATAAAAGCTTGAGGACCAGTGGCTTCGGCTGTGGAGACAGCAGCGACTGTTAGGGTCAGGCCACTAGGCCTGCATCGCAGTGCAATGGCACCAAGGCAGTAGCTGTCCAACAACACGCAAACATTCCCCCCCCGTGTAGCCTCGAACCGACTGTTGGGACAAGTGCCGTTTACAGCGAGTAGCACCAATGAAGGCTGCCACGGCCCACGAGGGGGGGGGTTTGGGTGGTCAGAACCAGACCCAGCCGCGGTTGCCTCCCCAGTGGCGACGTTTACACAGCAGATAGCAGCGGGTTACTCAAATAATTTGAGGCCGAGTCGCCCTAGGGGAGGCCCGCACCGCTGCTCCTCGCGCACGCGGGCACCCCGGGCAACCTGTGCTGGTCGGCGAGAGCCTCGGCGTGCTGCCGCCTCTGGCGCGTCCACGTGGCGAGCTCGGCGTGCATGGCGTCCAGGTCCTCCTGCAGGTAGTCCATCACCTTGCTGAGCGGCAGCGTGCTGCGGCACAGCGCCTGCACGGCGCCGCGCAGGCGCTCCGTCTCGCGCACCGCCGCCTCGCGCCCCTTCTGACGCGCGCCGTCCAGCACCACCTTGCGGCACGCGCGCACGGTTAAAGATCTCCGCCCCTCGTAGGCTTCAACAGACTGTTGGGGCAAGTGCTGTTCGCGAGGAGCAGCGGCTGTTATGATGGCCGGCACACGAGCGGGGTGGGTGGGTGGGTGGGTGGCCGGCACCATGCCCAAATCCGCCTTTACTTCCCTATTTGGCGATGGTTACACTCTGCGCCATGTGCTCATTTGAGGCCGAGTCGACCTAGGACCGGTTCAGATAACCGTCACTGGTGTTGGTAGCCGTGAGCGAGAATCGAACTCTTGACGGCGGGGGTTCGTGGTGCAGCACGCCAACCACTACACTCCCGCTCCCCCTACCCCAGGGACACACACAGACACATTGACAGACAAGCACATACGTACACAGCGACACGTGTGTACTCAATATGTACGCAAACGCAGCCAGTTGCGCACACGAACACACGCACGGCTATCGTCCTCTCAGAAGCCCCTCTGCTGTTGCGTTCCACAAGGCTGCACCCTCTCTTTGCCCATCTGACTGCGTCTCCGATTCGGAAGAACCGCATCCACGTTGCAACGTGTGCTAGCTGCCACCCGGCTCCAACGTCCACGGACAGCGGACGCCGAAGATCCCGCGACGTCAGTCGCGAGGAGGGTGGCGTGGGGGCGGTCGCGGTCCAAAGTTTGACAAATCCCAATGTATTGTGAAATCGTGATGCCGGCGGCGTGAAGAGTAAGAGGCCTACATGGGGTAAAAACCCCTCTCTGGCCTGGCACTCGCCCGCGGTTATCGTCCTATCTGGGCGGCAGGGACGAGCAGCAGAGAGGCCTCGAGGGGAGGCGACCAATTTGCACCTCCATCTCATGATGGCTGCGACGACATCGAGGGTAGCCAACCGTGCCAAGCGGAGGTGCGATGACGTTTAGCCACGGTTGGGCTACATACGGTGCAAAATAAGTTATTTACACAAGCATACACAGGCCTCTGAACCCACAGAGGCTTCTTGCACCACTCTACATATCAATCGTCGCCCCCCTCTTACTGGCAGGCTACCACCTTACACCTCCCCGCCCCCCAAATCGAGACTTCATCCCCGGTCTCTCGAGTTGCGACCCGTATCCAACAATACTTGGGACCGTCACGCGTGGCCTGGGGGGTGGGGGGTGGGGGGGGGGGGTGTTCATTTGTCCTCTCGGCGTGCGGAGCCGCCAGCGTCACGCACCTTGGGCGGTGTCCGCGTCGTTCCGTAGCCTTTCTTCGTCTCCAGGATCTTCTTCACGAGGCCACCTGCGGCACAAAGCGGCGCACGTTTGCACGTCGGCACGGGAAAACGACGAGGAGAAGGGGGGGGCTCGCGCGGCCGGGGACGCCGGTGCCCTCATCCCACTGTCGCCAGGAAGCCGAGCCCACTCGGGGGCCTCGGGTCTCCTAAGTCGGTGGCCTTCATCGTAAAGGCCCCCCGCGGGTCCCACCGGCTTGGCCGGGCCCCCCCCCCCGGTGGTCTTTAGCGCGGCCTCTCCGACAAAACACGGAATGTGAAATACCCTCCCCGTCGTCATCATCATCATCGTGCTGTCAAACCTCCCCAATGGTTTCAAATGTGTGGTGGCCCTTGACACTACTACTGTCTTATTCTTGGTTGTTTCCCTTCAGCGTGACTTTACCGAAAGAACCAAGAATATGAATCACTGCAGTCACGAAAGCTTTAAATAATTATTTACTAATGTCTTATCGGCAAAGGGGGCCCTCACCCCCCCCCCCCCATCTCTGCAAATGTGTGAAGAAACACTGCTAAACAAGTCGACGGTTTACACCATTGGAAACCTCATTTGCCAGTAACAAAATATGATTTTTTTTACATTTTATCTGGCAACAAAACTGACACCTTTATTTTGTTACTGGCAAATGAGATTTCCAATGGTGTAAATGCTTACCCCGAGCTCTCATACTCTGATGGTGCATTGCCTTTGAGTTGTGCGCCTTTTGGCGTCTTCTGGTCCAACACCAACGTGAGACGAGGCTCTAAAGAAAGCTGTCTCGGGTGTGGACCAAGCAATTTCAAGGACAGTGCCACACACATTATCAGAGCTGTCGATTTTTGTTTGCGTTCCGACCGCAGGTATTGTGGTCAATGTAAACATGACTCCTTGTAAAAAAAGGTGTCAGTTTTGTTGCCAGATAAAAGGGTAAAAAAAACAATTATCAAGTCGACGGTTCCTGGCAATTTTCGTTGTTTTTGGCCGATTCCGTCAAACCGAGGCATCGGCGGAAAAAAACCCCAAGCTGGGCACGAGACTCGACGTCCTTGCCGTCACAGGTATACCGATCCACTCCGTTACTCTGCCCAGCCACCACACAACTCCCACAACGCACAGCGTGTCTGGACGTCTCGCTCGTTCGCGCGACACGCAACGCCCCCCCCCGTGTTTTCAAAGCGCCGGATTATCAGCCATGCCCCCCCCCCTCGCCCCGCGCCTGGGCGGCTGGAGAAGGGGGCTGCACGAGAGCGGTTGCGTGGACACAGGGAGGGGAGCTGAGGGGGGGGGGGGAGCGCTCATGTTAATATGCAGCAGACGGCTTGCGGATGCGTAGTTGGCATTTGCTAAATAATTAAACACGAGTTAATTATACTCTGCAGTGCCACGTGCGCACCCTCCCACGCCAACAACAGCCCTGGCGGTCACGCACACAACGATGGGGGTCCCATAGTGGCGAGATGTTAACTACCTCGCCTGGTATACAGGAGGTCGTGGGTTCGATCACCACCCTGACGCCCGTATATTTGGAGTTTGTCTTTTCCCCTGTGGTGGTGGTGGTGTGGATTTTTCTCCGGGTCCTCCGGTTTTTCCCTCCGCATTTAGAAACATGCGTCCGTTTGGCTGCAATTAATGTCCACACGATAAGCCACTTCGTTGAGCTATCATTTGTGGACCAGGTCGCTTCTGAAAAATATCGATATAGCTCAGTGGGGGCCTTACCTGGTCAAAGAAAAATTGTTAAGTTTTACAGTTTCATTTAGAGATATGACTAAAAATTACAAGCACCCACCGTGTTCCTCTCCATCGTTGTCTTCCGTAGCCTCCAACTGAAACGAAAAGATCCCCACTTTAGACAGACAGGGTATGTATGGGGAGGCGTTGCCACGGTTGCTGTTAGCAAGCACTTGTGAGGTCCAAAGACGCCAGGGTATATCATGGGAAGAATATCTCACAATGCCGAAGGAAGAGGGGGAAAACGACAAAGTGGTGTACTATCATTATCATTACTACGGGTACAGAATTCCTAGGACGGCTGCCTCCACAAGTGGACGATCCTGGGGAAAAAGCAGGGCAGGTGGCAACGCCAAAACGTCCTCTAATCCAGGACCAGGGCCCGTCGTCACTGCCTGCCATCATTTCTCCGCGGCAGCCTCCGCCGTCTGCAACGCCATCGCCGCCCGCCATATTTGCAGCAGCGTGCGCCGAGTTGTTTTTTTTTATTTAAGAGGCACCCGCAGAAGGCCCCACCACTCCGCTCACGCGACACCGAGCTTGGCTCTGCACCCGAGTCGGGGAGTTCCCACGACAGGTCCTACAAACTTTATAAAAGCTGTTCCTGGGACGGTAATCTGGCTGGCATCAAGCTCGGATGGCTCCTGGAAGTGAGAGAGAGCCTGGGGCTCACGAGGGCCCGACTCCACGGTGGCGAGTTGTTAACTACCTCGCCTGGTATGCAGGAGGTCGTGGGTTCGATCCCGACCCTGACGCCTGCTGTATATTGGGAATTTGTGTGTCTCTCTCCCCGTGGTTGTGTCCATTTTACTCCGGGTCGTCCGGTTTTTCCCTCCGCACTTAGAAGCGTGCGATTAGAGCATTTGGCTTCCATAAATGTCCACATGATAGGCTTCTGAAAAAGAGCTATATAGCTCAGTGGACCTTACTTGGTAAAATACCCAAACAAAAATGAGCAAAATATTGAAATGTCAGAATCTGTATTTAGGCTGGAGGAATTCGATGAGCCATGAGGCTCTTTTTTGCAGATGTCCAGTAAATGTTTCAACCACAGATGTCCTTGGCACTTGTCAATATCACCAGAGACGTTCCGGGCTATGCACCTTAAATGTGCAATGAAGAAGGGTCACTGCGAAAAACGTATTGGGCTACTATACATTTCCACGTGATGATAAGCCACTTCGTTTGAGCTATCATTCGTGATGGCCAGGTCGCTTCTGAAAAAAAAAAAACTACGTGGCTAAAGTGGACCCTTCACATGGTAAAACGAAAACAAATAATTAAAAGTCGAGTTTAGTCGTGATGTCACACCACCGTTGCCCTATGTCAAGGAGGTCGGGCGACAAAAGTAACGAGAGACGTTCCTCTTGTTCGAATTCGGTACCAGACAAAAACAATTATTCCAACGGCCGCAGTGCGCCAGCGAACGCGACACGGTGGTTGTGGTCCTGAGCAAATGACCTCGCTGAGCATGCCGCAGGTTGCCGACCGCTTCCCCCCCATGCCCTTCACGGCAACCGACTGGTCATACCACCAGTGGGCAGCACTATGTCACGTTCCCCCGTTTGCACAAAACACTCTTTTGTAGAGACACTACATTCGTCCACAGTGCGTATAAAATACCAAACAACGTTAATAATAGCAATCGTTACCAATGTGTAATTAAATCAGTACCCAGGAGTTGTAAACATGAGGGCGTATTGGCAGTGGGGAGGGTGTGAATGAACATCAGCCTGTGGGCCAGAGCACGGCTTGTCACCACCGAAGACAGCAAAAACTTCAGCCGTGTCGATTTGTTTTTTACAGGGCTAATGAAAATGGATTACTGGATAACCACACTTAGTTATTCAACATTAGTTGTCACACAAGTTACTGGCCACGAAGAATTTGGAACGATATTCTTGGTTCTTTCGGTAAAGTCACGTAGAAGGGAAACAATAAAATAATGAAAATATAAAACAATAAAATTCGCACGACGTTTCGACTGCAACACAAGCAATCATCATCAGGTGTGAAAACCACAGCAAGAAACATTTGACAGTTGTCAAATCGCTCTCCGTGGTGCTAACGTTAAAAAAACCGCCACTTTTTTCAAATTTTCTTGCTGTGGTTTTCACACCTGATGATGATTGCTTGTGTTGCGGTCGAAACGTCGTGAGATTTTTTTAAATTATTTTTATTATTTTATTGTTTCCCTTCTACGTGACTTTACCGAAAGAACCAAGAATATGAATCCCTGCAGTCACGAAAGCTTTAAATCAAAATTTGGAACGACTTAATAATAGTTATGCCACCGCAAGCGGTACTGACGGGTGAAGCACCTGGGTCTAGGCGAGCCCCGTGGAGGAATATGTAACCGTGAACATATTGCGCTGTGGCCCATAGAGAATAAGGCGGGAGGGCGAATGCATAATTGATTGTGAATGAATGGGAGGGCGGAGGGGAGGGAGTGCGGTGGTAGTCTATGGAGACGCCACATGAATATTCTAAAGCTTATCCTCGCAGGTTCGCACCTGCTTTTAAATAAGGGTCTGGCGATGCATAATGCATGCACGAGTGTAAACACACCGGGGCCTGTGGAGACTGCGCACGGATGTTCCGAACCCTCCGCACGCTCTTGCCTGATGTTGACATGAATAAATAAAAAGCTACAGCTGCCACTCTTGCGGGGACGCTGGTGTCCGTGCGCACCGCCTCAACGACGCGAGGCCCCCGCACGTGGAGGCCGCACGACGGAGCCTCGTGGGTTTGCCGAGTGACCGCGGCCGCGCGGGGGGCTGGGAGCTGGGAGCTGGGAGGGCGCGACGGGAACCCGTTGCATTTTGCGGGCAAAGGTTTTCGTGCCAGCGTGTAACCTTTTTTAACCTCTGGCTCATCCGGTGAAGCACGTAAATACAAAACAAAAGACAAAGATCGCCCGCGTAGCCTCGGCAGAGTGTTGGGGCAAGTGCTGGCGAGCGGCACCTATTGAGGCCGGTAAGGGTGAAGCCCGTTGCATTTTCCATCGTAAATAAAATCTACCGAGTCGATCCATCCGGTATACGACCACTCCCAGCTGAGCACAGGGAGGAAAGGACACTCACAGGCCACCACGGGAGGAAGCCACGTGTGGGAAAAGTTCACGACGGGAGGCCAGGAGGAGGCGTTCGTGTTGAACAAGCGGAGGGCCCCACACTGGACATCTGTGAAAAAGAGCTTCACAGCTCACGGGATTTCTCCTCCTCCTCCTCCAGTCTAAATAAATATTCTGATTCTGGTGACGTGGGACTCACGGGCCCTGCGTCGAGCGAGTCTGAGGGAGCCGGCGTCGACTCGGCAACCACGAACTGCTCGTCGTCGTCGCCGCCGTCGTCGCCGTCGGAGTTCCTGCCTCCTTCCACGATGACGTTGGCCACGGCCTTGGCGCTCCCCGTCCTGAGCTCGGCCATACGCACGCACACACAGGTGTGAGAATGATGCACACAGAGACCACCATACACACACACACAGGTGAGAATGATGCACACAGAGACCACCATACACACACACACACACACAGGTGAGAGAATGATGCACACAGCGACGACGATACACGCGTACACACAGACCACCATACACACACACAGGTGTGAGAATGATGCACACAGAGACCACCATACGCACGCACACACAGGTGAGAGAATGATGCACACAGCGACGACGATACACGCGTACACACAGAGACCACCGCACAGGTGAGAGAATGATACACACAGAGACAACGATACACGTGTACACACAGAGACCACCGCACGCACACACAGGTGAGAGAATGATACACACAGCGACGACGATACACGTGTACACACAGAGACCACCATACACACACACAGGTGAGAGGATGATACACACAGAGACGATACACGCGTACACACAGAGACCACCATACACACACACAGGTGACAGAATGATACACACAGCGACGACGATACACGTGTACACACAGAGACCACCGCACACACACAGGTGAGAGAATGATGCACACAGAGACGATACACACGTACACACAGAGACCACCATACACACACAGGTGAGAGGATGATACAGCGACGACGATACACGTGTACACACAGAGACCACCGCACACACACACAGGTGAGAGAATGATACACACAGCGACGACGATACACGTGTACACACAGATACCACCATACACACACACAGGTGAGAGGATGATACACACAGCGACGACGATACACGTGTACACACAGAGACCACCATACACACACACAGTTGAGAGAATGATGCACACAGCGACAACGATACATGCGCACGCACAGAGAGCCGAAGATACACGTGCATACAGAGACCACCGTACGCGCACACACACACAGAATGATATACACAGAGGAAACAACAGTACACGCGTACACAGAAAGACGAAGATACACGTGTACACACAGAGACCACCGCACACACACAGGTGAGAGAATGATGCACACAGAGACCACCATACACACACACAGTTGAGAGAATGATGCACACAGAGACCACCATACACACACAGGTGAGAGAATGATACACACAGAGAAAACGATACACGCGTACACACAGAGACCACCATACACACACACAGGTGAGAGAATGATACACACAGAGACCACCATACACACACACTGTATAGCCTTGAATAAAATGTTGCAGCAAGTATTATTAACGAGTAGCAGCTATGTTCGTATGTGTGTTGAACTTCTTTTACACCCTACGTAGCCAACCGTGCTAAGCGGAGGTGCGGGAGGGGGAACAACAAATTGAACACAAAAATCAGCAGTTCTATGAAGGCCACCCGAGTAACAACTATGAAGGCCAACTGTGAAGGCCAACTATGAAGGCCAACTATGAAGGCCAACTATGCAGGCCAACTATGCAAGCCAACTATGCAGGCCAACTATGCAGGCCAACTGTGAAGGCCAACTGTGAAGGCCGGCACGGCAAGGCACGGCACACGAAGGGGTGGGTGGCCCCCTTCACGCCCGGCCGTCATTGTATCCCTGAGTGCTGGTGTGTTACTCACCGCACAACCAGGTATTCTCGCACAGACACGCGTGCACATACGGCACAGAGGGGGCTACAGCAGAGTCCAATTCAATTAACAAAAATCCGTACACAAAACCATCTTCTGAAAGGCAAACGACCTAACTGGAAGATCAAAATAAAACTACTTGGTTACGAAAGCAATATCGATCCAGGGCAATGCAGCAGATGAAATCCGCTTCTGGAAGTGGATGTTGTCCAATTAATCTCTCAAACCGTAGCCCCCGGCTTACAGGCTGTGGTGAGCTGTTTGTACTGCGTTCAAATTTATAGTTGCACGCTGAGTTTCGTAGCCGAATATTGAGTGTTTCCTGGCAAGGCTGTGGGTTTGTGTTGAGGCTGTGGGTTTGTGTTGAGGCTGTGGGTTTGAGTTGAGGTTGTGGGTTCATTTTGAAGCTGTGGGTTCAAGTTGATGTAGGTTCGTTTCGAGGTGGTCGGTTAGTGTTGAGGTTGTAGGTTCAAGTTGTGAGTACTGATGTTTTTGCTCTGAAAAGTTACACGCTAATTATGAACCAAACTCCACAATGTAAAATGTCTCCTGGTATATATTCATACCCTGGGGTCTCCCTTGCAAATTGTAAAACAACTAAACTAACCCTTTTGTTTTACCAGATTAAAGCCCACTGAGCTATATAACTCTTTTTCAGGCGCGACATGCCCACAAATGAAAACGCAACGAAGTTGCTTATCATCATGTGGAAATTTATAGCAGCAGCCAAATCTTCTAAACGTCTGTTTCGGGGGCTCTCGCACCTGCGTGCAGGTTCAAGGATAAACGTCGAGTGAAGACTCGGCCGAGTGTAGACTCGGCCGAGTTTGTGCGGGGACCGCGAGGGTTCCGGTCACCACGGCGACGCCTCGTTACCTCTCGGTCGGATGGGTCTCGGCGCTCTCCTGGCGTCGGATTCTCGGTGCAGCTGGGCGGGCGCTGCTGGGGCGCGGGGGCCTCCTAGTATACACACACACACACGCACACACACACGCACGCACACACACACGCACACACACACGCACACACACGCGCACGCACGCACACACATACGCACACATGCACAACAACAACAACAACAACCGCCATTCGCCACTAAGTGGCGGTGACGTCACCACGACGCTTGTGCCAGGCTATGTGCACCCTGAGGCCACGCGAAGTGTCGAACGCCCGCTGGCAGGAGGTCACGGGGCAGACCCAGGTGCCACGGGTCGACTGACTGAGATGACTGGCTGATGCACCACCTGTGCCCCCTACTGTGCCAACCTGCTGTGCTTTAGCCACCCGGCGCTCCGCTCGCTGTTGTGAGCGTCGCTCCTCCGCCCTCCGTTGTTGTTGGAGGGCGACTGCCTCCAACTGCCCAGTAGCATCCTTCACGAGCCTCCTCCACAGAGGCCGATCTTGACACCGCTGGTACCAGTCATCGGCAAGTCCACTCAGCTCCACGTCCTCCTGTACCACATCACTCCATCTCTTCTCTAGCCCGTGCCGCGCCCGCTTAGCCCCCTCAATCCGGCCGAACAAAAGCTGTTTCGGCATGCGGTGGCTGGGCATGCGGGCTACATGACCCAGCCATCGCAGCCTTGCCTGCCGGAGGAGCTCACCGATGGGACCCTGCCCAGATCTTTCAAGGATTTGTGAGCTCCTCACACAATCCAGTCTGGTTAAACCCAGGATGGATCGTAGGCAGGTCAGCCTAAATGTTTCTAACCGGCGAAGATGTTCCATTAGGGGGGTCCACGTTTCGCAAGCGTAGAGAAGGGAGGGAATGACCGTGGCCGAGAAGACCTGAAGCTTAGTGCGGAGCGACAGACCAGGTAGCTTCCACACAGCGTTACGCAACCGATGAAAAGATATTGCCGCTCGACTGATTCGGAGTGAGACCTCTGCTGTTAAACTGGAGCCAGTCATAAGCACACTGCCCAGATATGGGAAACTCTCCACTCTCTCCACAACTGCCCCATCACCGATTGGGAGTTGTGGGGGTGGAGTGTCCGATGGTACAAAATACCCAGGCAGGTGCTTAGTTTTGGTGGGGCTGATGGTAAGGCCCCACCTCTTAGTGGCACGCTCCAGTCTCAGCAGCAGCGTCTCCAACTCCTCCTCTGACTGAGCAGCTATTACCAAGTCATCAGCATACATAACGTGGTTGAGCAATAGGGAGCCATCCCTTGACCGCACCCGGGCATCGATTAGCCTCCCATTATATCTGTACCATATGGAGATTCCCCCGGTACAGCTATTGAAGGCTTCACGAACTACGTGGTCAAAATAGATGTTAAATAATGTGGGAGCCAGAGGACATCCCTGTCGCACCCCAAGGTGTACAGGGAATGGCTCTGACTCCCGGCCACGTAGTTTTACCCGGGCCCGCTCACCATCATGAAGGTCCTTAATGATCGTGAGCAGAGGGAACAGGTACTCCAAAAGCACGAAGAACGACCCAGAGCCGAGGCCTACTGATGGTATCATAGGCCTTGACCAGGTCAATAAAGCAGAGATGTAGGTCTTGTTGGAATTCCCTACACCTCTGCTGTAGCAGACGGACAGAAAATATGGCATCTGTGCAGGACCGCCCTTTCCTGAAACCGCATTGGGGCTCCGCAAGCCTCTCCTCAGCGTGCCTGGCAAGGCGATGCTGAATAATCCTTGCCAGGACCTTTCCCGGCACACTGAGGAGTGAGATGCCCCTGTAGTTGTTACAGTCTGTGCGGTCCCCCTTCTTAAAAAGGGGGACCACCAGGGCATCCTTCCAATCCTGCAGAACCCGTCCAGTGGTCCAGACTGTTGTTATGATGTCATATAGGGCAGTCTGTGCACAAACGCCACCCTCCCTCAGCATTTCGCTTGGGAGATCGTCTCTGCCCGCTGCCTTTCCTGGTCTCAGACTCCGGATCGCCTTCAATACTTCCTCAGCAGATGGCACCTCAGCCAGCCACTCACAGGGGGTGACTTCATCCAATATTTGAGGCACCGCAGCCTCAGCAGGGTCATCCTCACTTTGTGCCACGATGTTTTCCTGGCTGTGGGATTTTCCCTCCCCCAGGACCTCACAGAAATGCTCAGCAAATCTGCGAACCTGTTCCTGGGGGTCGGAAATTGGATCACCGTTTTTTCCCCTAATGATGGTAATAGGTGTGGCGCTGCAGGTTACTTTTTTGATGGAGTTAAATAGCGATTTGTGATCACGGGCCACTGAGGCAGACTCCATCTCCTCAGCAACCCGCGACCACCACCCATCCTTGCAGCGCCTCACGGCTCTCCGAACCTCCGAGCGAAGGCTGCGGTAAGCCTCCTCATTCTCTGACGTGGGATTCTGTAGCCGATGACAGTGGGCCTGTCGCTTTTTCTCAACCATCCTGAACAACTCCTCTGTCATCCAGGGTGTCTGGGGAGGTCTGGACCGCGTACCCAAAGCAGCCATTGCAGCTGCATGAGTCACAGTCCTAAACCTCGCCCATTTACCCTCGACATCAGGAGGAGTCGGGGACGATGCCAATCCCAGCCGCAAGCGATGATGAAATTCTCGCTTGCAACTTTCATCAGATAACTGAGACCAGGCCACTTTAGGTTGGAATGGGGTCCTGTGTGTACACCCACCACCGGAGTGGAAGAATGGCAGGCGCATCTTACAGATGACTAGTCGATGGTCAGAGGGCAGATCAGCTCCACGGTAGGTCCTGGTGTCAAGGACATGGGCTCGCATTCGCTGGTCCGTCACTATGTAGTCCAGCAGATGTTCTTGCTTGGACCCGGCATGCATCCATGATGTTGTTGGGATGCGCCGATGCCGGAACAGCGTGTTGGTAATTACAAGCCCATGGGCTGCACAAAAATCTAGCAGCCTCCTACCGTTGTTATTGAGCTGATCTGGCCCATGCCCTCCAATCACTCCAGACCAGGTGCCAGTATCATGACCAACTCGGGCATTGAAGTCACCCAACATGATGACTCTATCCCGAGGGGCCACTTTAGCCAGCACCTGTGACAGGAGGTCATAGAAGGCATCTGACTCATCGGCTTTGCCTGCATCCCTCCACGGATGTTCATCTTCGGTGGGGGCATAAGTAACCACGACCACCATTCCTCGCCTCCGGTTGATGGGAAGGCGAGCCCAAAGTAGCCTGGGGCTTACAGCTTCCCACACCTCACCGCCACGCTCCCACGCCCCCTTCATTCTTTTATTCAAAAGAAGACCCACACCCTGTTGTTTGGCAGTCTGCTGCCCCGAGTAGAGGACTGTCCACCCCTCATGGTGGCAGGAGCCAGAGCCGGTCCACCGGACCTCCTGAATGCCGCATAGATCCAGGCGGTACCGGTCCAGCTCCCGACAGAGGAGTGGCAGCCTCTCCTCTGCAGTGAGCGTTCGAACATTCCACGTGGCCACCCGTAGTGGCTTTTCGTTGTTTCTGGAGTAGCCCCGAGGGTAGGTATTCAATCTCCTGGCTCCGCCAATTGGGGTTTGGCCAGGAGACGTCATAGACGCCTGGCCCCCCGGGGCCTCCGGCACAAGCTTAGTTGTTACATATTTCACTTTAATTCGTGGTTTTGTGGTAATTAATTGAAGGTGGAGGGGTTACCAGCCCCTCGCACCCGTCCAGAGCCCCCGTTTAGCCCCTGTGGTGGACACATATGCCATGAGGGGAGGAGCCAATCAAAATTGGAACTCCCCCCACAGCACTGTCCACGACAGAGTTGCCCGTCCGGCACCGCGAGGAGGCACACACGCACACACACGCGCACGCACGCACACACACACGCACACACACGCGCACGCACGCACACACGCACACACACACACGCACACACACACGCACACACGTACGCACGCACACACGCGCACATGCGCACACACGCACGCACACACACGCACACACGCAAACGCGCACACGCACACACGCACACGCGCGCACGCGCGCAAACAAAGATTACCCTTATAGCCTTAACAGACTGTTAGGGCAAGTGCTGTTAGCAAGCACTTATGAAGGCCGATACAGCACACAAGGGGGTGGTTGGCCAGCACCAAGCCCGACCACCTTTGTCTCCCCAGTGGGGATGTTTTAACACCCCGCAGCAGGTACTTATTAGCGGCTGAGTGGACCTAAAGGAGGCCCCAGGACCGGTTCAGATAACCGTCACTGGTGTTGGTGGCCGTGAGCGGGAATCGCGCGTGTGTACGCAAGCCCGTACCCTCATGTGTCCGCACTCACGTACGCAAGTGCGTACGCGCTGGTGTATGTGCTCTCGTGTACACCAGTGTGCGCGCTCGCGTGTGCTCATGCGTCCGCACCTCTGTAGCGGTAGCGCAGCGGCATCGGCGGCCTCGCCGTTCACCGGCGCTCCCTCCTCCTTCTCCTCCTCCTTCTGCGCGCCCTCGGCCTCTGCGATGCGGGAGCGATTCACTCGCGTCAGCTCACGAGCGACAAGCCTGCTGAAGCGACTCGCCTTCATCCCCGTTAACCCCTATGCGGGAGCACGGCCCAGTGGGCTCTGCCCCGACGCTGGGGATTAATGCGTTGCAGGGCAACGACAGCACTAGTGCCGGTTTATGTGGGGGATGCGTTCCTGAATGGTGCGACTGACGGATATCGAAGCGCTTTGGGGGGAGGGGGCTGACTTCAATATTCTGAGATAGCTCAGTGTGTTTAACGTTTTCCAATGGCCGCCACAAATGTATAAAACAAATTTTATTGGATTTGAACGCGGAGTTTATTAATAGGTCGGAGCCGCTGATGTGGCTAATAAGTTCGATAAGTTCGAAAGGCTGCCGCTCAAGCAGCCTGCAGGGCAGCACACAAGGTGGCAGCCTGCAGGGCAGCAGCACAAGGTGGCAGCCTGCAGGGCAGCACACAAGGTGGCAGCCTGCAGCATTTTGCAGCAGCCGGATATCCGGTTATCCCAATTACCGACTTCCCCAAAATTTCAGGGGGAGCTGAGCCCCCCCCCAGCCCCCCCCCCCTGTGGCTCCGCCCCTGAAGGGTAGTAGTAGGTGGTGGAGGCGAAGGTTGAGAGGCGACGGATAATGAGAAAGGACGGACGATGCTGCAAGCGATGTAACTGTCTTGTTAGAACACACGCAGCAATCGTCGCAACGCCGACTGCGAAAAGCTTCGCCGGACCCTCCTGAAAGAAAGCCGTGAGACACTCGCGGGTGCCCGAGCTTGGCAACGGTGCCGACGCTCGGTCGTGTCCGACAGAGGCGCCCGGGCGCCGCGCACGCGCGACCGTGAGGCTCGCCGCCATTTCCTCCGGCCACACCGGTGGCCTACCGGGGCCCCACCTTCGTCAGCGGCGGCGGCGGCGGCGTCGTTGGTGACGACGTCGCGGTGCCGTCTACGGTGGCCCTTGGCTGTGGGCGGCCGCACCACCCGGGCCGGGCTCCCCGTCTGCGGCAAACATGGCAACAAAGCGGTCGCACGCGGCATCACCGTCACCGAGGCTCGGGCACGACTGGGGACGATACACACTACGCCGTCGTCGTTACCGGCGAGCAACTGAAAACGGCGGAGATAATGTTCGGCTCTGCCACGCCGCATGTATCGTGAAGATATACGCAAGTGCGTCGAACTTCTTTCGCACCGTACGTAGACAACCGTGGATAATCGGAGATGCGGGGGGGGGGGGGGGTGGGGCAAGGAGAACAAACTAAGCACAAGAAGCAGTTCTAAACGGAAACAAACTAAACACGAAAAGATGACAACGGGTGCACTATGGAGAGACAGCGGCGTAAAAACGTGCTCCACGGAAGACCCGAGCCCCAAAGAACGACGAGTTATTATCTCGTGAGAAAACACGTGGCGTCCACGCAACGCAAGCCGTTCCAACGCGTGTTCGAATGCCCGCCGAAAGTTTCGCATCGAAACGACACGGCAGCCACGTCACTGTCAGGCGCTCCACCACGGCACCCTCTTGTGGTGTTACAGCCATGCTTGGACAGTTGCACTTGCCTCCGCCAAGAGCTCTTTTACACGCTTTCTATTAGCTCACTCTGTTCTGTTGTTGTTGTTGTCGTATCCTCAAATCTTGTAACTCAATTTTAACCCACCTCCCAATGTGGTATCGACTGAAAACTTGGTATAATTATGTCATACTGATGACAATACTATATTCTGTCATTAAAAAATAAACATATTTTTAAACCATCTTTTTTACATGTTGTGTTTCGGCTTGGGTCTAATTGTCCACGCTCAACTGACGTTGGCTGTAAATCACCACGGCCCCTTAAGTCGTGGCAAGCTTCGAGGCCACTTCCTGGAGTTGTGGAGTTTTGCCCTTACGAGTACGGTACATTTCATTAAAGCGTGCTTTTTAAAAAGTATTTTTTGTATTATTTTTTTCAGAAGCGACCTGGCTAATACAAATGACCGCTCAACGAAGTGGCGTATCACGTGGCAATATACAGCAGCCAATACCGTGAGACTTGTTCTAGGTTCTTTCGGTAAAGTCACGTAGAAGGGAAATAATAAAACAATAAAAATAAAAATAATGCTTTTTATTTTTTTTATTATTTTCCTTCTACGTGACTTTACCGAAAGAACCTAGAAGATGAATCCCTGCAGTCACGAAAGCTTCAAATCGAAATCATGGGACTTGTGTTTTCCCAGTATCAAAGTAAGAACATGAATAAGAATGGGTTTTGCCCTTCAGAGCCCCGTGTGTGGCTAATGCAGACTTGATGCCTTGCAAAATGTTTCTATTTGGTGTTTGAACATCTTAACACCACCCGTTTTATTGGGAGAAAGGGTAAAACCTATTCGTATTTTTCACACTATAGCAACCAAATACCGTAAGGGGCCATCCATTTAGTACATACGCATGGAGGAGGGAGGGGGGGTTAACCCAAACGCGTACCTTGCGTATGGGGGGGGTGAAGCCTCGATAACAATTAGTCTACATTGGCCTTCGAATGAGCCACAGTTCAGTTTACTCAGCTGTCAGACAACAAGTACTACCGGGAGGAGTGGGACTGTGGGAGAGGTGTCACACTTTGTGTGCCACCGTACCCCTGACTGAGAGCTATCACGCAGCTCAGCAAAATAAGCGGCCAAGGTACGCAACTTAATTCTTTAATGCAGCCGGCGGTGGACTATCTGTTTGCTTTAACACATTCATCCTTGATCGTTTCTGCGTTGATTAAATATCGGCCGTTCTATAGGATTCGGGGGGGGGGGGGGGGAGTGCGTCAAGCGTACGTACGCAGGTGGGGATGTAAAAAGTACGCGTACGTACAGGGAGGGGGTCAAGTTATGGCCCCTAAACGAACGTTTCTAAGAGTGGAGGGAAAAAAACGGACCAACTGGAGAAAAATACACGCGGCCACGGGGGCAGGAACACGCGCATTCCAAATATATAACAGGCATCGTCAGGGTCGGAATTGAACCCACGCTCTCCTGCATACCTGGCGAGGGAGATGACATCTCCCAGCCACCGCGGCACCCCTCCAACGCACGAGGTGAGAACCCGTGACCCCCCCCCCCGCCATGCTACGTGACAACGCAGAGGGGAGGCGTGCCGGGAGCCGCGCAACTATGGAGCCCAGCGTACGGAGGTGGGACTTGAAACCCGCAACAGTGGCACATCCAGAAGCTGCAATTTGAGATATTAATCGGAATATTTGTGTGTGTGTGTATATATATGCAGATTGGCGCCTGATGAGGCTGGTTGTAATTGCCGGCGAAATGTCGTAATCGAATTGTAAATGTCGTGCGTTTACTCTCTAACACACCGGTGTGCTGAACTAGTAACGAATTTGCACGTTCTGTTTACGTGACAAATCTTGCTAATTGGCTGTGTCGGGTAGTGGCGGGTTTAATGACCGATTTATATTTACGTAATCTATCAAAAAAAAAACCTCTTATTGTATATGCATATTACGCACGTACGCAATTTTAACTTTCTCTCGCACAGTACGTAGCTAACCACGCTAATCGGAGGGGAGTGGGAAGGACAACAAGCTAAACACGTAAAAGCAGGTTTAAATAAATGAGTTTTCAATCTAGATTTAAAAGTGCATGACGGAGCGAATGGAGCAGTGGCGAGGACGGAGAAGTGGTGCAGTTGTTAGCAGCGCTGCGCTATGAACCCGGTGATCCGAGTTCGACTCTTCAGGCGATGAGGGATGAGGGGGATCTTTGTCACAGCTAACGCCATTGGAGAACCCATCTCACCCCCCCCCCCACCACTTTCAAAGACAAAGATCCCCCTTATAGCCTGAACAGAATGTTGGGGCAAGTGCTGTTAGCGAGTAGCACCTATGAAGGCTGGCATGGCCAACAACACGTACGGCCGCCTCTGTCTCCCCAGTGGTGACGTTTACACACCGCACCAGGTACTAATTTGAAGCCGAGTCGACCTCGGGGAGGTCCACGACCGGTTCCGATAATCGTCACTGGTGTTGGTGGCCATGAGCTCGAATCGAACTTGGGTGGCGATGTTCGTAACGCAGCGCGCTAACCGCCATGAAAGCGCTCCACATCGCCGGCCTGCACCGAGCAGCCTAGCCCCCAATGACAGACACAGCATGGGCAGGCCTTTTTCAAGGTGCCGAGTGACAAGCGGTTGGAACTTATCGACGACAACAACAACAACGGTGTAATGGAATCGCTTAAAATACACTTTGGGTTGCGTCTTCCTTTGAATTCAAGGTGCAGATGGTGAAAGGACAATACCTCAAAATCCACAGCCTCGGCAGGCTCAGACGCAGGCTTGCGACAGAATGAGAAAGACAGGCACGCACGCACGCACGCACGCGCACACTCGTCTTGACACTGGGTTATTTAAAGCCGTGAAATGATCATCAATGGTAAAAGGCTCGAAGAACGAAGCGTGCGAGAGACGGACCCTAACATAAATGTGCCAAATGCATTCACGGAGCGTTGGGTAAGGAGGTAAGTGTCCCAGGAAGCCTCCTTCCACCGTGCAAGCCACGGTCACTCACCTCCAGCCCTCGTGCGTCTTCCAAAGTAGCTGCAGTTGGCGGCTCCCTGTCTCTAGACTGGGTCACACAACACAGCAAGCAGCAGCAGCAATAAATGGTGGAGTCTCCTCAATGGTCGGGTGAGTCCACGCACAACTTCAACAATAGCAGCAGCAGCAGCAAACGCAATGTCTTTGGTACGTGGTTGGAACCAACCGCCAACCACATACGAAGATCCCACAGTGGCGAAAAGTTAGCTACCTCGCCTGGTATAAAGGAGGTCGTGGGGTTGGCAAAGTACGGTGTGAAGGGATTTGAACATACATTACATTCTATTTTTGTGTACGATCGAAATACGTTCAGCGGCTGAGCAAGTAAAACTCGGCGCACGGTTTATTTACGAAAGATTGAAGCAGTGGAATGATGCATATATTGATCAATTAATATGAATGCATCAATGAGAAGGTTGCGACGCATGCTTCAAATCCTGTACGAATTCATGTTTTTTTTTTCTCTTGAAGCAATTCGCATACATTTCATGAGACGGGGTCACAAACCAACGCTGTGGGCCTCCCGGAGTTGCTGGCATTTTTGCGGCAATGTTAAAAAAAAGACAGGACCCCCTGCCCAAATCACCCCGGGACCTCGGGCACCGGGCCTCGTCGCCCGCAGGGCAGGCTGTAACCCACTGCCGGCGCTCATGTTCAATATGACAAAAAAACGATAATAAAAAAACTGCACAACAGAATTCATTAATCGAATTGTGACAACGGACCGTGACGTGAGAGCGATGTGCAGCGCTGGGGGGGGCGGGGAGGGGGGCGGAGTGAATCGCACCACTCCCCGGTTCGATCGTCAACAATCCGGTGAACCGATCGATAATGAATACGGCCGAGGTTTTTTTCGGTTCACGATAATTCGTTTTTTGACATTAAACCGGAACATCCCAAGGCTGGACGGGCTCCGAATGCCATTGCCTTTCAGGAAAGTAAACAAATATCGTTGACAGCCCATCTAAGTAAGGTCGCTTCCTGAAAAAGAGCTACGTAGCTCAAGTTGGGCCTTACCCGGTAAAATAAAAAAAGGTAGTTTTAATTTCAATCCCATTTGCTTGGCACCGCAGCTCTGCAGCCACCCCTCCGTTTGGCGCCAGCTCGTCCGTTTTGCTGGCCGGAGTCACCGTTAAGTTGCCTTGGCTTGGTTTGCAATGCTCAAGTGCCGGAGGGGGGGGGGGGGGGGTGGTGGTGGCTTGGGGGTGGGGGGGAGAGGCCTTGTAACTCAAAGGCCCTCACCCGGGTTAAATAAATAAGAGGCTCGCTCCGTTGATCCCATTAGCGGCCCGCAGGGGTGTGACCGCAGCAATGCAAAGCTGAACTATTAAACTATTTTTAATTTTACCAGGTGTAAGGCCCACTTGAGTTATGTGGCTCTATGTCAGAGAGGATCTGGCCATCACGAATCATAGCTCAACGAAGCGGCTTATCTTTCGATTTAAAGCTTTCGTGACTGCAAGGATTCATCTTCTTTGGTTCTTTCGGTAAAGTCACCACACGTAGAATGAGAATAAAATAATAAATTGATAAAATAAAATAACACGATAATATTCTCACGACGTTTCGGCCACAACACAAGCGGCCTTCATCAGGTGAAGGGACGAGACTGTCTGGAGGACAGCGCTGGAGTTACAAGCTAATCACTCAGCTATTTCAATGCTAAATTCTATGCTAATTCCTTTGTCAAGGCGCTTTGTTTCTTCTCACACAGCTTAACGGTCGCGATCTGAGCGTGGCTTTTTCACTCCAGCGCTGTCCTCCAGACAGTCTCGTCCCTTCACCTGATGAAGGCCGCTTGTGTTGTGGCCGAAACGTCGTGAGAATATTATTGTGTTATATTATTTTATCAATTTATTATTTTATTCTCATTCTACGTGACTTTACCGAAAGAACCAAAGAAGAAGTGGCTTATCATCGCGTGCAAATTTATCGCAGCCAAATACTCTAAATGCGTGATGTTGATTCTAAACGTGGAGGGAAAAAACCGGAGGACAACAAGGGGAGAGAGACACGCAAACTCTAAATATACAGGCGTCGGGGGTTGGGATCGAACCCACGACCTCCTGTATAGCAAGCGAGGTCGTTAACATCTCGCCACCGTGAATCTCGCTTCACTGATCCCATTAGCGGCCCGTGGGATGTGACCACAGCTATGGCAAGGGCAGACAGGGTGGCTTCTCGACCGAGTGCGCAGAAGCCGACCTGAGTTTTGCTTCAGGTTATTTATAGTCTGGTTTTTAAAATCAACGTTCATATACATGGGCCCGATGATCTGTTTACGGGAAAGGCGGAGCGGTGGTTACCACGCTGCGCTGTAAATCCGGTGACCCGAGTTTGATTCCTGGGCATGGAGAATACCAATAGCGAGTGATATCTGAAGCGGGCCTGGTTTGTCCCTTCATATCGTGCACTCACCAACGTGAACGATTGTTAACCCTTTCCCATTCCGATGACGTACATGTACATAATCGGAAGAAAAACTAAAATAAAATAACTTTTATCGGGACCGAGGCACCCACAAGGCCATGTGGGAGGGATTGTGGCAGAGTTTGGTGCCAGCTATAATACTGTGGCGGTCGTGTCACTACTGTTTCTCCGCATTGAGTACAATTCTCTAAAAATATCGCTGCCATGCCTCTAGAAATAAAATTTTAGCCGAGCAGCTCACGCGTTCCGAGATTCGGCGGTGAACGGGACCCCCACCCTGCAACTGGTAGACGTCTCGGAAACGGGAAAGGATTAAGAAACGCCAATGGCAACAAATACAGCATGGGAAGAAGGCCTTCAAAAAGGGCTGAACATTTTTCAACTATTATTTTGTTTTCTTTGGTTCTTTCGGTAAAGTCACGTAGAATGAGAATAAAATAATAAATTGATAAAATAAAATAACACAATAAAATTCTCACGACGTTTCGGCCGCTTGTGTTGTGGCCGAAACGTCGTGAAAATTTTATTGTGTTATTTTATTTTATCACTTTATTATTTTATTCTCATTCTACATGGTGACTTTACCGAAAGAACCAAAGAAGATGAATCCTTGCAGTCACGAAAAGCTTTAAATCGAAATATCATTTTGTTGTTGCTGTTACTATTTTGTATGAACCCACCACCAGTCAGGTCGCTGTACCAAAAGAGAAGTGGACATGCGCAAACATTTGATAGCGACAGTCACAGGCAGAGTGGAAGAGTAAGATCCTGGGGCCTGCACTTGAAACACGGGGAAGGAATTGACAGCGGGGTCCAGCTGCAGAGACGAAGCGACACCCCGCTCCCAACCTCCCCCCCCACCCATCGGCTGCGGCTTACTTCCCCCGCTCACCTTGACATCTTTTTTCTCTTCGTCACGCTGCTTGTCCCTCCGCCTGTCCTTGTCTTTGCTGCTTCCGGCGGCCACCCGGTGGTCTCCTCGCTCTTCCCTGTCCTTCCGCTCACCGCCCCTCTCCCTCCGCTCCCCGCCCCTCTCCCGGTCCCTCGCCCCGTCCCCGTCCCGCTCCTTGGACCCCTCCGCGTTGGTCTCCTTCTCCCGCCTCCGCTCCGAGTCTCTGTCACGGTGGCCGTCCTTCGTCCTCTCGCGGTCCCTTTCGCCGTCTCTGGCCGCGTGCCGCCCTTTTTCCCTCTCCCTGTCGCGATCCCTGCCCTTGTCTTTGTCTCCGTCCTTACTCTTGTCCCTGTCCCTGTCGCGGTGGTGCCTGTCTTGCGAGGAGGCCTCTTTCTCCTGGCGTTCGCGGCTGCCCGATGGCTCCTTAAACTCCACCTCCTTCTTGGTCTGCCGGAGAGACGCAGACGGAAACGCGAGTCAGCGGACAGCGGTTAACCATCGACGTGCAGAACGCGTCGCGTGCGAGCGGCAACGATTTTGACACGCGCGGCGCCGCCGAAACGCCCACGGCACGATTAGGTAACGACAGCTTGGGAGTCAATTCCACCCAGCCAGCAAAGCTGGCGATGGCGTCGGTCTGGCGAGGGCTGGCTGGGGGGAGGGACGGATGGATGGACGGTCACGTCCAAAGGACTTGTGTGGGCTGCTAGCTATCCTCTAAGAACAATGTCAGAGCGTCTCCCAACTCCCTATGTGGTTGGGCAGCAAAGGCAATGCAGATCAATGCAATTGTTGTACTGTACTTGTTTGCTCCCCGCCTTCATCAGCCCTCACTGAACAGCGTGGTGAACCGTGGTGAAATAACCTGCACCACCCAAAAGGTGTGGGGTGAGGGGGGAGGCTATCATCTAGCAGTAGATTGCCGAAGAGTTGTACAACAGTACACTGGAACAAAAATCCGATCAAAAACAAAATAAATAACTGCATTGGAGTTTCCGTGCAGCGGCGGAAAAAAACGCTCTCGGTGTGGCGTTCACCTCCACTCACAGCCTTGAGCTAGCCGCGGAAATTCCACATTTCCACGGCGAGTACCACTCCATCCAAGCCGTGCCGATTTTGACAAATCCCCAGAGGACAGGGGTCGTGGGGCGAGCGGGCGATGATCATCGGATTCCTCCAGTACAGTCCGTTCTCGTATAACGCCGCGTGTTGTTTTCAAAACGCGAGTTGGATGTAACGCGACTAATGTAATTAGGGAACAGGTATTTTTATAACGCGGATGCAAATTGGATATAACGCGATCGAGTGGACGGAACCACGTCGCGCGAGTAGGAATAAGCGGTCGTAACGGCTACCTCGGCGTAGCATCACACATACCACTGGGACGCTGCTTGATGCTCCTAGATGCTACCCACGCACCTCAGTCTTTGTTCGGCATTGTCGCGGACTGTGCTTTACTCCCTACATTATACATTCATTATTATCACGCGATTTTTCAGGAACGCACCTACGACCGAGTTGCAGGGGAACAGACCGTATAAATAAATTCAGATTCTGATTCGGACTGTCCCGAACGTCCACCACGGCACGACATCAGAACCTCGCGGACATCTGGCACCACTGCCGACGGTCAGGCGGCCGCCGCACGGAGGACAGCGGCGGCGTGACGCGGCGGCGAAGGGGCCGCACCTCTCTCTGCCGCGACGGCCGCTCGTCGCGGTTCTCCTTGCCCTGCGTCTTTGCCGGCGCGGCGACGCTCTTGGCGTCGGGCTTCTCCCCGGCGAGCACGCGTCTCACCGCGTCCTCGCTGGGCAGCTGCGGTGGGGGGGGGGGGGAGGGGGGGGGTGCGAGGGGGGGCAGGGGGGGAGAGGCACAACGGCGCCATGCGCAAAAGCTCGGCGGAAGGCAGCGCGGCAAGATCCATCGTTGTCCTGTGCGGCTACTACGATACGCGACATAAGAGGGACACTACTTGAGCATAGTGGAACAAGGCAGAGGAAAGTGGAAACAAGTGACGAAATGTGCAGTGGACACCTATGGCCCATCTGCCCATGGATCGCGATCATGATGACGATGATGATGACTCGGATGCAATGTCTACGACGGCCGCCCTCTTCGACCGACACTGCACAACGTGGCGACGCACTGCTTTCTTCAGAACTTATTTTCGTGTTTAGTTTGTTGGTATTGACAAATGTGGTGAGATGTTAACTCCCTCGCCCGGTATGCAGGAGGTCGTGGGTTGGATCCCGACCCTGTCACCTGTATATCTGGAGTTTAGTAACAACATACGTTTGAGTATTTTTACATTTCCACGTGATAAGCCAATTCATTTGTGGCCAGGTCGCATTTAAAAAAAAGAGATTTTTAGCTCAGTAGGGCCTTACCTGGTAAAATAATAAAAAAAATAGTTCCATTTTATAGTTTAGAAATGAGTTTGTTTCAGCCTTGCGCCGCGAGCCTGAATGGGGAGAGACGGATGACCAAATCGTGAGGAGGAAGGGAGGAAGACGGTGGCGTGGTGGATCGTCACAGCACTTCCAATATGCACGGTTGGCTACGTACGGTGCGAAAGAAGTTCAATGTACATCCGTCTGTACGGTCAAATCAATCCCGACAATCCTCCCCTCCCCCCCCCCCCCCCAACAAGGCACGGGACGATGCTCAATAAGCTGTGGCAGCAGATTATATTAGACACGTATTAGCGTGCATTAAAAGGTAATGCCATAAACGTGCGTCCCCGTTGTTGATGCGGCTAAACTATTTTTTTATTTTACCAGGTAAGGCCCACTGAGCTGTATGGCTCTTTTTCAGAAGCGACCTGGCCACAAATGAGAGCTCAACGAAGTGGATAATCGCGTGGAAATTTCTTGCAGCCCAAATTCGCTAAACGTGTGCAAAATTTACCATGGAAGTCAAAAAAGATGGCAAGCTCCCTTTTTTGGATGTTCTAATAAAAAAGAGACCTGATGGTTCAATGAGCCACTCTGTCTACAGGAAAGCTACCCATACGGATGCTTATCTGAAACCGGATTCCAACCACCATCCATCACAGAAGAATTCTCTCATCAAAACTCTGTACCATAGAGCCCAATGCATATCCGACCAGGAACACATAGCCAGTGAACTCAAGCATGTACACCAAGCTCTTAAGGCTAATGGTTATTCCAACTACACAATCCGCAAAGCTATCACTCCAACAATTAAGAAGGACCCTCTTGAGGAGCTTTTCAAAACCATCACTTTACCCTACATTGCGGGGATCACAAAAAAGATCTCCAAAATCTTAAATAAACACAAGATCCAGGTCCGATTCAACACATTACATAAAATCCGTGATCTGGTTCCGTCTGTAATTAAGTTGCCTCTGTGGTAGTAGTTACATTGGAGAAACCAAACGACATGTCCCGGACCGCATTTGTGAACATAAAGCACCTCGGCCATGACAGATCACTGTTATAATTCAGTAGGTTCACGTGACATTGACTTCTCCAAGACAGAGGTTCTTTGCAAGCCATCTGGCTACCATGAGAGATTCGTTCATGAGGCTATCCACATTTACAAACACAGAGACAATTTCAACTGAGAAGATGGATTCTGGCTTAGCAATTAGAAGGATTTCATAAACCATTTCGGGTCTTAATTGATTGATCACGCTGAAAGTGGCTTTCAGACCGCATGCATTATTTTTCGTCTCCCCCCTCCTCTTTTCCGAAACATAGATGGACTAGTCTTTCTGAACAAACTGTCAAACCGCTATCTGTGGTGCTAACGTTAAAAAAACGCCACTTTTTTCAAATTTTCTTGTTGTGGTTTTCACACCTGATGATGATTGCTTGTGTTGCAGTCGAAACGTCGTGAGAATTATATTGTTTCATATTTTTATTATTTAATTGTTTCCCTTCTACGTGACTTTACCGAAAGAACCGAGAATATGTGTGCAAGTGGCTTATAGTGCAAAAATTTATAGCGACCAAATATTTGAAACGCATATTGATTCTAAATGTGGAGGCAAAAACCGCAGGACCCGGAGAAAAATCCATGCGACCACGGGGAGAGAAAGAGAGAGGGAAAGGCAAACTCCAAATATACAGCATCGAACCCACCACCTCCTGTACACCAGGCGAGGTAGTTAACATCTCCTAGCCACCGTGATGATGACGAGAGACGCAGACTCCAAACATACAGCAGCAGGCGTCGTCATGGTTGGGATTGAAACCACCACCTCCTGTATACCAGGCGAGGTAATCAACATCTCCTAGCCGCCGTGGCTGCGCGACGCTGCCGTCCCACCGCCCCCACCTTGCTGAGGCAGCACTGTGCGAGGGCTTGCAGGAACTCATTGGTTCTCTCCGGCTCGTGGCCGGCAACGATCTTGGACGGACGCACCGGCACGGCCTCCCCCGACGCCATCGCCACCACGTCAATGGCCTTCTGCAGGAAGGTGATCTTGGCCTCCCTCTCCTGTTCAACGATAAAGTTTGGCGCGATACGATGTGCTACCACGCATGCACGTGCAGTGAGATCGCGGGACGGATAATTGAGTTGCTCACTCCGAGCTCTCAATGTCCTGATAGTGGCATTGTCTCTGTGCTGTTCGCCTTTTGGCATCCTCTGGTCAAACACTGTTTGAGACTAGGCTCTAAAGAAAGCTGTCTCTGGTGTGGACCAATTGGTTTCAAAGACAATGCAACCAGAGTACAGTAAAACCTTGGATTGCGAGTAACTTGGTCTGCGAGTGTTTTGCAAGACGAGCAAATTTTTTAAATAAATTTTAATTTGATAAACGAGCGAGGTCTTGCAATACGAGTAGTGTATGTATACTCTTTGTCTGCCGAGCGTCACGTGATCACACAACTGATATACGAGTGCTTTGATATACGAGTGCTTTGGATTACAAGCACGTTTCCGGAACGAATTATGCTCGCAATCCAAGGTTTCACTGTATTTGTTTGCATGTTCACCACAAGTATATGTGGTTAATGCAGACATGATTCCTTGTTTTATTGCCAGAAAGGGTAAAACCTATTCTTATAACTGGAAGAACCGCGTTACAGCGAAAACATATTGTAATGCGAACACCATGCGTTAAGCGAGGAGTTACCGTGTAGCGAGCGGTGCACAATGAGGGCTCGCTCCGATGCCTATATTTAAGCGATCATTTAAATCCCAATAAAACCCAATTACGCTGTAGGTGTCGTAACTAAATATCCCTTTCTGGCCATTAAACACTGCCTCGCGTCATGTCACAAAGGTGACCTTGGCCTCCCTCTCCTGTGCAACGATAAAGTTTGGCCAGATACTATGTGCTACTTCGCACGTGCAGTGATACCGCGCGACAAATAACTCGAACTGCATCATTCCGCGTACTGTATCGCACCGGTGAACACGCGTGAAGCGAGAGGTTACAATATAGCGAGCGGTGCACAATGGGGTCTCACGCCACTGCCGATATTTAAACAATTATTTAATCCCAATAAAACCCAATTACGCCGTAGGAGTCGTAACTAAACGTCCCTTTCCGGCCATTAAACACAGCCTCACAGTCATGTCAGTCAAAGGCCCCTGGACGATCACTCCACCACTCAAACACTTCTGGAAAGTGTCCTCCACTGACCTCGCTCACTCAACACTGAAGGGCCACCGCTCAACGCTGCAAGTCAGCCAGGGACACGGAACGGAACTGAACAGTTGGAAAGCTGCAATCGGAGGGAACGGGAAACGGGGAATTGGTGTGTACCTTCACGTTGTCCGATTTCATATCTGACTCGCCGTAAAGTCCCTTCATGAACCCAGTTGTGCGGATCACCTGCAGGATAGAAGAAAAAAACCACACAGCAACCAAGCCACGGTCAAACAGACGGCATTTTTCATCGTTGTTGCCTTTGCGCGTATTATAAAGATTGTGTTTTTTTATTAGTGAATTTAAGGGGTTTGAAATTAAATTCAGCGTGACGAAGACTTCGACTGCCCAACCAGTGGCACTATCATCAACACCACCACCACCATCATCACCACTAAAGATATCCCCTCTATAGCCTTAACAGCTTGTTGGAGCAAGTGCTGTTAGTGAGCAGCAGCGATGAAAACCGGCGCGGTATACAAGGACGGTCAGGCGTGTTGGCTAGCACCACATGTCCGACCGCCTCCATCTCCCCAGTGGCGCTGGTCACACACCGCACCAGGTACTCATTTGAGGCTCAGTCGATCTAGGAGAGGGCCCAGGATCGGTTCAGATAATAAGTCACCGATGTATCACAACGATTGTTATAATACAGAAAACGACATCAATTGCACGCGCTGTGTAAGACAGCAGCCAAACCCACAAATTTAAGTGGAAGGCCGTTAGACATTTGACCAATCTAACACGCAGGCTTTCGCGACCAATATTATTCATAAGAAAGGAATTTTTTTTTGTGTTAGATCGTGTAAATATGAATGTGTCATTTACCCACCGTCACCTGGCATAGCCAATAAGTAAAAAAAAACAACTTTTGGGAAAAAACATTGTAACCCATATGGATTTAAAAGCAAAGGCAGAACGATTATCGTCTTCATAATAGTAGGTGGTTTACTAATCGACAGCCTACCACTTGAATCACTAGGGTCGGCCAGTGTGCAAAAGGCACGAAGATCACGTCATTCGTGACCGCTGCTATAAAAATAAAAATAGGAAGAGATGACTCTGAAAAAACGCACACCAATGTTGTTAAATATTAGCGACTGTTGCACGGAACATCATGTTCACAACCTTTCTGTATGAACTGTATGGCTGAAAGGTTATTTAATCAGTGTACCCGCACAATATGTATCGTGAATATATTTTTGACTTGCCTTTGTTGATTTTTATGAATGGGTTGTATGTGTCTGTCACACCGAGATTATTTTATATTCCTCCACACTGCAGATGTCCCTTGCAACAGGGACTTCTGTCTCAATGGACACGCAACTGGTAATAAAGTTATTGTATGTATGGACCCAACTAAACTTCTCTGCCTTATTACGCACATTATCCAGTGTCAGAGCTGGCATGAGTCTACTTTAAAATGAAACAAATATATTTTGTGATACTACTTTTGTAGTGGTGTACAAGCGCAAATAATAAAACTCAAATACATTTACCGATTATATATGTTATTTCCTTACGAGGCAGTTATTTGACAAATGTGTTAAGTTCTTTTTGCTCTCATTTCTGCATTAAAAAGTTAACTGCCGGCCACTAGTGTTGTTATTGTATGATTATAATGGTATCCCTCCTACTCCAGTGCATACACGAGCGGTAACGATTTGAAATCGGGAACAACTGTTGCGAACATACAGTCATCACAAATGGGACGCCCGAGTTATTTTTCAGTGAAGTTTAAAAAGAGAGGGGGCGATGAATCGGAGCGTAGCTCCGACCTTCACTTTTGAACGTGAGCCAGCAGGACAATTTGGATGATTATGAGCCGACCGCTTGACTCACAAGGGCCGGATAAACTTTGCACTTGCGCTCGGTCAGTCCGGGATAAAACCTGCGCTACGGCCACTTCAGGACAGGGTGAACAGCTGTCTCTCCAAGCAGCGCGGGAGAGAACGGAGCCACGTTTTGCAACATGCCTTGTCCCATTATGGAGCTCGCCAAGAAGCAATTAGTGAGGCCACGTAAACACTGTTGCTAGTGCCAACACGGTTTGTTGGTAGACGTGTTTCGCCAATTGTTACGCAACGGCCACCAAACGCATTCCTCTTCATCTGAATCGGGAACACGAACAAACACACAGAAGGACACATTCGCGCTTGGCTTCATTAGTTCCTTCTCTGGAATATCGTACGAGTGCCTCTGATCTGTTTGCTCCTCATGTAATCCTTATTATCCGAGCTCGCAATGTCATTTATCTATGCAAGCCGACGAGAACAACATCCACACAATGATGCATCGTGAGAAGACGCAATGTGCGTTTGGACGCACTGCTTCACCAATTAAAATGTATCGAGTCCAAGATAAGTTGAATTGAATCTTCCGCATGATAAAATTGTTGTCAATTCTTAAGAGGTTGTAAGCAATTAATTATAAGAGTGGACGATTTTCACTCATTTGAGTCATCGTGATTACGGATTACTTTGGGTTGAATTTATCGATTAATATCTCGTGTTACGATTTAAAGCTTTCGTGACTGCAAGGATTCATCTTCTTTGGTTCTTTCGGTAAAGTCACGTTGAATGAGAATAAAATAACAAAATAATAAAATAACACAGTAAAACGTCGTGAGAATTTTATTGTGCTATTTTATTTTATTATTTTATTATTTTATTTTATTCTCATTCTACGTGACTTTCCCGAAAGAACCAAAGAAGATAATATCTCGTGGTACGAGGTAGGAAATGAGTAATCGTCGGGTATGTTAAAGGGGCAAGGCTAACACTATTCTACTCAACCCACCCTTCACAGTCATACAAAAAAATAAGCACGGTACTCCTCTTGTGGAAAATAAAATGTGGTTGTCCTGTGAGGAGACTGGCCCCGCTGTAGCAATGCAGAATCTCCACCGGTGGCTTAATTACGTCCAGGGAGATGATCGCCACCTCAGACTCGATTGAGCGGAGAGAGACGATCTGACTTGAGACTTAGCGCACCACAGTCCAGCTAACTCGTCTTGACAAGTGTGGCATGGTGGATTATACAGCTTGGCCCATGCCACCGTGCTCGTTAAAGTTTCATGCGGGACGACCCTCTGCGCATAAAGATGCACGGCGTCGAAGATCACGAAACCTCGCTCCGTCGGGTGGTGGAGGGTTATAGTTAACATTTGACACTGTACCTACGTATGTACGTTGAACTTCTTTCGCACCATACGTAGCCAACCGTGCTAATCGGAGGTGCGGGAGAAGGACAACAAACTACCTACGCAAATTAACCCAAGACAAAGCAACGATGAATCGATAATTTACCTTTTTACATGTCAGGCATAAATCTGAGCTGCAGCTAAGGGCAGATTTCCCATCTTGTTTGAAGTGTACAACGTACACCGCCTGGGCCATTTTCCACATTGGTGGAGATGAAAACATCGGCACGTTTACTCCTTCCGATAAGTAGGAAGCCACCAGGGAGCTATGCACATGGTGGTGAGATGTTAACTGCCTCGCTAGGTATTCAGGAGGTCGTGGGTTCGATCCCGACCCCGACGCCTTTATATTTGGAGTTTGCGTGTCTCTCTCCCCCGTGGTCGCGTCGATTTTTTCTCTGGCCCCTCTGGTTTTTCCCTCCACATTTAGAATCAACGCGCGTTTAGAGCGTCTGGCCGACGAGCCACCTCGGTGAACTATCATTTGTGTGTGGCCAGGTCACTTCTAATAAAAGAGCTATAGAGTATAGCGCGGTGGGGGCATTACCTGGTTAAAATAAACAAAGTTTTTTTAATATAGTATATTGTTGCTGCAGTGCAGAATGAGTGTTCTAGTGTTGTTATTGTACTATTATAATGGCACAGCTGTACTGTGTTTCACCAGTGAGTGCTTGAGGATATAGAGTATGGTTTCTATAGTATTGTCATTTTATTGATCGGGATTTACTCCAGCAGTTTGGTAATGACTTGCTACCTTGTGAGTGCTGTATTCACAGTTGCACAATGCACACCGTTGTGCTGTTACTATGTTGTATTACTATAATGGCTATAACAGTTCTATGCAATGTGATATTTATGTCTCTATTGTTGCAGTACGTTATATCACCGCTGCTGGTGAGTTGTACGAGTGTTATGTTTTGGATGTATGTTGAACTTCTTTCGCACCGTACGTTGCCAACCGTGCTAAGCGGAGGTACGTGATGATGTATGTTGAACTTCTTTGCCAACCAACAAACTAAACACACAAAAAGCAGTTCTAAAGAAATTAGTTGCACGACCGTTATGTTCCATTGCATTGAACGTGATTGTAATTACGCAAATCGCATGGCGATGACACCGTGCGCGTTGCCTGTAGTTGTCTCAACTGTGAATGTTATAGTCACACAGTGTGTCGCATTGCTGTCATATTCTTTACGTGTGTTTTATATATTACCATTATATCGTGACTCACCACAGTGATAGCGTCGTGTAGTAATTACTTTCAGTGTGATGATAGCGTGTTACACAGCGCGTTACCGTGCCGATAGTTACACTGTTGATAGCGTGTTACACAGCGCGTTACTGTGCCGATAGTTACACCGTGGACACTGCAGTGTGTTGTACAGCTATCACGATGTTATAGTAGTGGTGTACAATGTAATGAGATTGTATAGCGAGACGCGCTTCTGTGATGACGTAGTGTGTGTGAGCATGCTGTGTTACAACACAGCGCGTTACCGTGTCGATAGTTATACCGTGGACACTGCAGTGTGTCGTACAACTATCACGATGTTATAGTGGTGGTGGTGGTGTACAATGTAATGAGATTGTATAGCGAGACGCGCTTCTGTGATGACGTAGTGTCTGTGAGCATGCTGTGTTACAACACAGCGCGTTACCGTGTCGATAGTTACACCGTGGACACTGCAGTGTGTTGTAAAACTATCACGATGTTATAGTAGTGGTGGTGGTGTACAATGTAATGAGATTGTATAGCGAGACGCGCTTCTGTGATGACGTAGTGTCTGTGAGCATGCTGTGTTACAACACAGCGCGTTACCGTGTCGATAGTTACACCGTGGACACTGCAGTGTGTTGTACAGCTATCACGATGTTATAGTAGTGGTGGTGGTGTACAATGTAATGAGATTGTATAGCGAGACGCGCTTCTGTGATGACGTAGTGTGTGTGAGCATGCTGTGTTACAACACAGCGCGTTACCGTGCCGATTGTTACACTGTTGATAGCGTGTTACACAGCGCGTTACCGTGTCGATAGTTATACCGTGGGCACTGCAGTGTGTTGTACAACTATCACGATGTTATAGTAGTGGTGGTGGTGTACAATGTAATGAGATTGTAACGTGCTGACTCGCCTCTGTGATAACGTGACGAGCCTGCTGTGTTAGAACACAGGCGTAACCCTGTCGCTAGTTACTGTCGTGTATTGTACAGCTACAGTAGTAGTGGTGTACAATGTAATGAGATTGTATAGCGAGATGCGCTTCTGTGATGACGTAGTGTCTGTGAGCATGCTGTGTTACAACACAGCGCGTTACCGTGCCGATTGTTACACCGTGGACACTTCAGTGTGTTGTACTGTTAACACAAAAAATACTGTAATGCTGTAGTAATTGTTGTATACAATTTAATGATGGTATAAACTCGCCTCTGTGATAACGGCGTGGATGCGAGCCTGATCGGTGTTAGAACACAGCGCGTTACCCTGTCCATTGTTACTGTAGTGTGCTGTACTGTTATCACTACACAATACTTTCATGTTATAGTAGTAGTGTATAATGTAAAGATATTTCTACGTGAGATTCGCCTCGGTGATGACGTCGTGTGAACATGCAGTGTTACAACGCTGCCGTTTCTACAGCTACACCGTGGGCACTGTAGTGTGTTACACACAGTACTATGATACTCTTTGGTTCCATTGGGTAAAGTCACGTAGGTAAAAAATAAAATAACAAAAACCACGACGTTTCGGCCACAGCACAAGCGGCCTTCATCAGGTGAAGGGACGAGACTGTCTTGAGGACAGCGCTGGAGTGAAAAAAGCCACGCTCAGATCGCGACCTTTAAGCTGCGTGAGAATAAACAAAGCGCCTTGACATTTATTATATTTTTTACCTACGTGACTTACCCAATAGAACCAAAGAGCATGGATCCTTGCAGTCACAAAAGCTTTAAATCTAGAATTAGTACTATGATGTTATAGTTGTAGTCTATAATGTAATAATTAGATCGTAATAACGCGAGACTCTCCTCGGTGATGACGTCGTGTTAGCATACAGTGTTACAACGCTGCCGTTTCTACAGCTACACCGTGGGCACTCGGTGTGTTACACACAATTAGTACTATGATGTTATAGTTGTAGTGTATAATGTAATAATTAGATCGTAATAACGCGAGACTCGCCTCGGCGATGACGTCGTGTTAGCATGCAGTGTTACAACGCTGCCGTTTCTACAGCTACACCGTGGGCACTGCAGTGTGTTACACAGCACTGCCATGCTATAGCTGTAGTGTATAATGTAATAACGAGACTCGCCTCGGTGATGACGTCGTGGAGGAATCTAAACGGAGGCTTGCCGAGGAGTTTCTCCGTGAGCGGCGGCTTGCGGATCACGCGGCCCAGGGTCTCCTGGGTGCGCTTCATGGCGCTCACGTCCATCGTGGGCGCGCGAGGGATCAAAGTCAATCGCCGCGCGGTGGTTTTATATACTCGCGAGAGGAGACGTTCGTCGTTGTTTGTTGTAATCTGTGAGGAGATAATTTTGTGTCTGTGTGTGTTTGTTATTATTGCGGTGGTGGCGACGGCCGTGGTGGGGCTTCGACCACAATGCAGCGCGCGAAGTGAGCGCGCGGCCCTCAACGCGGTGGCCAAGGCGACGCGTGACGTCACCGGCGGTACGGAAAGCCCCGGGGGGGGCTCACGTGACCGACAGTTTTTTGTGTAGTGTGTATTAAATAAAAACGCGATTTTTTTTGGTTTGCTTTCAAACAAAAACTAAAACGCACAAAAAGAAAACGTCGCTACTACATTGCGCGAACGTTGGTCCAACGTTGCGCGAACGTTCAGCGAACGTTGATCCAACGTTGCGCGAACGTTCAGCGAACGCTGGTCCAACGTTGGTCCGACGTTGGCGTGTTTCCAGGCGCAAGGGGGCGGGCTTTTTCAACGTTGCTCCGACGTCGAACCGACGTTGGCTTGACGTCGGGGCGACGTTGCTCCGACCGGCGAACCCAGGGGGGGGGGGGCAGGCCCATGTGAAGGGCGCTGTGAACACAAACACTGCCGTGACACACACCCGTGCGGCGGTGCGGCTCCAGCCGACGACGACGACGAGGAGGAGGAGGGACAGGCCCCGGGGGGTAGGAGTAGGAGGAGGAGGGAGCAGTCCTGGGCACGATGAACATCGCGGCGAGCACCGAGGCGGACGAGAAGAAGCAGCTGTGGGACGCGGACGAGGTGCAGGCGCTGCTGTCGCTATGGGGCGACGCGTCGGTGCAGGCGGAGCTGGAGGCGTCCGTGCGCAACGAGAGGGTGTACGCGCGCATCTCCGCCGACCTGAGGTGCGCGGGCATCAGCCGCAGCCCCAAGCAGTGTCGCGAGAAGGTGAAGAAGCTGAAGCAGGAGTACAAGAGGCTGAGCGAGGCGGCCGCGGGTCGCAAGAGGAGCCGCCACTATCAAATGCTGGACGCCGTCATGGGCCGTGGTGGTGGCGGCGGTGGTGGTGGCGGGGCTAGGCCGCTGGGGCCTCGAGCGGCGGCCTCGCATTACGATAAGCAGCAGAATCATCAGCAGCAGCAGCAGCAACAACAGCAGCATCATCATCAGCAGCAACAACAACGGCAGAATCAGCAGCAACAGCAGCAGCAACAACATCAGCAGCAACAGCAACAACAGCAGAATCATCAGCAGCAACAGCAGCAACAACAACAGCAACAGCAGAATCATCATCAACAGCAGCAGACTCATCATCAACAGAAGAATCATCATCAACAGCAGCAGACTCATCATCAACAGCAGAATCATCATCAACAGCAGCAGACTCAGCAGCAGCAGCAGCTTCAAGAGATGGTGGAGTCTCAAGAGTCGGGTGAGTCCATGCAAAAAAAGTTCAACAATAACAGCAGCAAGCAGCGAAGTCTTTGGTATGCGGTTGGAACCGACCACGTACCCAAACCCAACCATCTGTCGGTGGCTAGGAGATGTTAACTACCTCGCCGGTTGTACAGGAGGTCGGCCGTGGGTTCCATCCCAAACATTCCCCCCCCACGGCGAGCACGGGTCGGGGCTTTTTTTTAGGTACGGTGCGAAAGAATAAGAGGGGACTTCGTTGTTGTTGTTGTTGTTGTGCCAACGTTAGCGCGTGGGACGACGAAGATGATTGCATCGACGGGTTCGCCTCGTCCCGGTATCCATGGCCAGAGATTGTCGAAATTGTTGAATGATGACCTCGGTGTTCACGCACCGATGTTTTGGGTCACCCGGGGGCCGCACGAAAGGAAGGACGATTTGATGTCGAGACCGGGTCCGGAGTGTTTTTATTTTGTTTGTTTTTGTTTGTGTGTGTCACCCTTGAAACGACAATACCGCTGGCAACGTCGCCTTACCTCGTGGAAAATAAATTGATAATAAAAAAATAAAAATAGTTGAATGTCAGAATCTGGATTATCCGACGAGATGCGAAAGCTCTTTTTCGCAGATGTTCAGTGAACGTTTCGAGCACAGATGTGCTTAGCGTTGGTGAATATAACTGGAGACGTTTCGGGCTATGGCCCTTTGTTATGTTCGATGAAGAAGGGTAATTGCCCAAAACGTTGGCTATCTTATATATATTCTTGGTTCTTTCGGTAAAGTCACGTAGAAGGGAAATATGAAAATAATAAAAATAAAAAATACAATTTTCACGACGTTTCGATTGCAACACAAGCAATCATCATCAGGTGTGAAAACCACAGCAAGAAAATTTGAAAAAAGTGGCGTTTTTATTTCTTCAGAAAAAACGCCACTTTTTCACCTGATGATGATTGCTTGTGTTGCAATCGAAACGTCGTGAGAATTTTATTGTTTTATTTTTATTTCCCTTCTACGTGACTTTACCGAAAGAACCAAGAATATGAATCCCTGCAGTCACGAAAGCTTTAAATCGATATCTTATATATTTACTTTCAAGGCCACACACGCGACCTTCCCGGGAGAGAATAGAGAACACACGTTCTCCAACGATACAAGAGGCATCGTCAGGGCCTGGGATCAAACCCATGTCCTCCTGCATAGCAGGCGAGGGAGATAGTACCGTATCTCCTCGCCATCGCGAGATGTACGCGTGGATTTTTCTCCGGGTCCTCCGGTCTTTAGAGTATTTGGCTGCTATACATTTCCACGTGATGATGATGATAAGCCACTTTGCTGAGCTGTCATTTGCGATAGCCAAGGGTCGCTTTTGAAACAGAGCCATGTAGCTCAGTGGGGCCTTACCTGGTGAAAAAAAAACGTGTTCAGTTCTGCAGCTTTACGTTGTCAACCCATGGGCCATGTCGAAAAGCATTTACAGAATCCATCCGTGTGTGTGTGTGTGTGATTTGTTTTCCTTGCTAGAGGACGCCTCGTCTGTCCACTCGGACGGCAGTGTTCTCATCGAGGATGCCCACGACGGCACTTCGGCCCCGCAAGCCGGACACTCGTCAGTGGTGAACCCGGGGGTGACAAGTCTCAAGACACTGCAGGGTAAATTTTCAACGCGTGACCTTTCGGATGAGATCAATCATTTATCTCACGTGCCAATATCGCCCTCGATAAAGCAAGGGGGAGGGCACCGGTGCACATTAAGGCGGGACGGGGAACGGCACAGGCGGTACGGAACGGCAGGAATGATAAAAGAAACGCCGTCACGGCCTTGGCGGCTAGCACCCGTCTAACACCGGGATGCCGATGTTGTGTCATCGTGTTGTTCCAAAGAGCAAGCGGGGAAAAAAATGCAACTCTTGCCTCATTATCTTATTCTCCATCCTGCATTGCCAGTTCTACTTAAAAGCCTTAACTCTGTAAATAATGAAGGAAACAAAAAAGAAACCCATCGCAAGCGGAGGATTATGTACAGGCTGGAATTTCGCGCGAATCACCTGAGGGTAATCACATTGCATGTGCATTGCATGTGCATTGCATGTGCATTGCATGTGCATTGCATGTACAATGCAATCAGCCTTGTCTACCTTGTAACCGCAACGGATGTATTCACAGTTGCACAATGTGCACCGTTGTGCTGTTAATGTTGTATTATTATTATTTTAATGGCTATAATAGTTCTATGCAGTGTGATATTTACATCTCTTTTGTAGTGTATTATATCGCTGCTGCTGCTGCTGGCAAGTTGTACGAGTGTTATGTTTTGGATGTATGTTGAACTTCTTTTGCGCCGTACGTGACCAACCGTGCTAATCGGAGGTGCGGGATGACGATGTGCGTTGAACTTTCTTTCGCACCGTACGTTGCCGTCCGTGCTAATCGTAGGTGCGGGATGACGATGCGCGTTGAACTTTCTTTCGCACCGTACGTTGCCGTCCGTGCTAATCGTAGGTGCGGGATGACGATGTGCGTTGAACTTTCTTTCGCGCCGTACGTTGCCGTCCGTGCTAATCGTAGGTGCGGGATGACGATGTGCGTTGAACTTTCTTTCGCACCGTACGTTGCCGTCCGTGCTAATCGTAGGTGCGGGATGACGATGTGCGTTGAACTTCTTTCGCGCCGTTCGTTGCCGTCCGTGCTAATCGTAGGTGCGGGATGACGATGTGCGTTGAACTTTCTTTCGCGCCGTACGTTGCCGTCCGTGCTAATCGTAGGTGCGGGATGACGATGTGCGTTGAACTTCTTTCGCGCCGTTCGTTGCCATCCGTGCTAATCGTAGGTGTGGATTCCCTCTGGGCTTTTGTTTTGCGTTTCCCTATTTTTCAGCCAAAAAGCGAAAAAGGGACGCACCAGACTCTGTCGCGGAATTGGTGAAATGCATGCGGGAATCTGATGAAAGGTACATGGAGTTCCTCCGTCAAGAAATGCAGGCCGACCGGGAGCTTAAAGAACGGCAGATGAACTTGGATCGTGGCCAGCGGGAACGGGAAACGGAAGCGTCGACCTTCGTCAACAGAGAACTGATCTCCGTTCTTAAACAACTTGGGCACGCGCTCCTGGCAAGGGAAGCGAGAGATCCGCCTTTGGATTGAGGAGAGTTGTTTTCATTTGTCAATGTTTTTTCTTCGGGGCGTGCAGGTTGTACATTGGAAAAATCGCGTGATCGAGTCATGTACAGGGTGCTTAAAAAAACCGTTAACACTTACATGGGACTATCCTTTTAATGGAAAAAAAAAACGGATAATACACTGTAACATAATAACAAATGTGTGTTAATCGCTTCAAAAAGTCAAAAAGTCTCCACTTGCTCGCCATCGTTGTCAACATGTGGCCTGGAATCTTCTCCAGGCGGTCTCCAGAGCCCGGAGGCAGCAGCACATTTATCGTGGTATTGTTGCAAATTCTCAGAAGTGTTAAAATGATTTTTGGAGCGCCCTGTATATAAATCTGTTTTGTCAATGATAGGTTTTGTTTATTCCTATACAAAACTGCTGAACGTGCATCCGTAAAAAAATATCACACGAAAAATATCGCAATGCGGGTACTTTAATGTTTGCTCACAAAGTACAGGACGCTATGTCCCTCGTGTTCTATTCAACTGTCGAAACGTTACACAGTAAGGTACTTGATAAGTCTTCCCTGGACATCGGCCGCTTCACGCTCACCTCTTTTTGGTAACATGTCCAGGTTGAGCACATTCCGTTTGAGTAACTTATTCTTCGATGAAGGGATCGTTCGGGCCTAACCATGGTTGA